GAAAAGATCAAGGCTGGTTATGTAGTATTTGTAAAGAATATAAGGATATTGGAGAAGTGTGGAAAACTAAAGGTGTGAAGCTTATTGAACATCCACAAAGGACATTTACTGCACATTAAAATTCAAAGAGACACCAGGATGCTGTTGAAAAATGTCAACAGGTCAAAAAAATACTTTCAACCAAAGGAACTGTATACAATCAGATGGTTTACGGCAGCTCGCAATACAGAATTGCGGGTGAACAGCCCAATCGTAACATCATAAATAAGTTATTTAAAACTGCTTACTTTAAAAACTTTAATTAAAAAGAACTGGGCAATCTGGGAAAACATAAGTGATATTTTTGAATTTATTTGAGATCTTGGTTAAGATAAAAATATAGATTTACACTTTAAAGTTGCTATCAAACAAGCGGTATACATATTAGCAACTAGTTTGTCAAAATAATAAGTGATAAATTAAACAATGAGGTTTGCACAATAATTATTTTTGCCCATAACTTGAGTTTTCTTGCTGATGAAACAAGCGATGTGACGGATAGGGCTGTCTTTTCTGTTTTTATTAGATATGTCAATTCTGATTTTCATACTGGATCATCTTATGCGAGTTTATTTGTTTGGGCCAATTAATAAATCAAACTTATGAAGAGATAATTGACATTTATTGAGACTCGGACAAGAGACACATTGATTTATAAAATGTCTACCCTTACTAATAGTTTATTTTAAAGAAATATATACATAAAAATCTTTTGTTAATTAAATGTTGTAGTTATAAAAGCTTCTTTCGCAAGAGAAGCAAATAAATTTGATCTCATTCTTTATATTAGTTAGCAAATAAAACGTATAAAGGAAAATCAGCCGCAAATTGATGTTGACATTAAGCCATTAATGTCACATTACTGATTATTTTGGTTAGTTATTTGTATTTCTTATAATTTCTTATTTTTTGTAGTTATTTGAAAAAGCCAAAGATAATAACTTTTTAATTGCTATAAAAAAAAAAATAAAAAAAAAAACAAGCTTCTCAAAGCGCAGACAGACCAGTATGCCCAATTAACTTCTGGATACATCACTGATATATATATATATATATATATATATATATATATATATATATATATATATATATATATATATATATATATATATATATGTATATATCCTTATAGTGTAGTCGAAAGAGTCTTTTTTTAATGTAAAAAAAAGTCTCTTTCGACTACAATTTTAATTACCTCGTCTCTTAAGCTGTATTTGATTGTCGTGGAAATGTCAAAGCAATTAAATTAATGCGGAAGTGCATTAAATTTTATTATTTTTTAAAAAATTTTTAAAAAACCGCAATAATAACGACTAGAAAGTTTTTTTTAATTAATGGTGTTTTGTTTTATTAAAAAACATTTTTAAAACATGCGTAGGGAGTGTTTCTACATCGACTATCTTATAGCCTGACTCGCAACGGAATGCTGCTACATCGACTGACGAATAGCCTGACTCGCAAGGGAGTGCTGCTACAACGACTGACAAATAGCCTGACTCGCAAGGGAGTGCTGCTACATCGACTGAGGGTTCGGTTTGAGCAGGCAGTCTATCATTTTAAAAAAAAAATTTAAGTTTTTAAACTTTTTCTGGTCTGGTTTATTAACGCGCTCTTTAAAACTACAGTTTATGGGAAACTCTTTCTGACTACCATGCAAGAGTATATATATATATAAAAATGAACATGATAATTTTTTTTTTCAAATAAAATTGAAATAACTTATAACTTGCTATTAACATGACTCCTACAGTATTTCAAAACAATTGAAATAAACAACTTTTGCACTTTTATAGATTTGGTAGATCTCACATTACATTAAAATGCATAGTTTAGGTTGCTATGTATTTTTATAGTAAGTAACTGATAAATATAAACAAAAATTAAAATATGGAAAATTTTTAAAACTCAATTCAATTTAATGTTTTCAGTGATTAAATAAAAATTATATATATTTTTTTAATCTGTTATTTATGTAGCTATAACCTTATTACCATAAAAGTTTTTCATGCAGTTCTAAAGAATTTAACAAGTCTTATATAAATCATAACTTAACTTAGTTGTAACTTGCTTTTCTGCCCAGCGACCTTGTTTGCCTTGGCTCATGTTTATGAGTTAAATATAAAATAAAAGAGTTTTTTTTTAATATAGGTTTTTTAGTAAGTGAGGCCAACTGAGTTGTGAGTATAATTAAAACTTTTTATTGTTGATATTGTTTTTTTCAAAATTATTTCAAAAAAAAAATAATTATTAGTGAACAAATGGTTTGGTAAATTTTGAATCATAAGTATTAAAAATTTTTGCTTTTTTTCTGTTAAATCAATGATCAAAAACAGTCATCTTTTTCTTTTTTTTATAGAAGTTTGGTTATTGGCTGCAAATCATGAGTTCGAGACAGCAAAAAATGTTGATAATGCCAGGTAATTTAAAATGTAAAAATTGTTTATCTACATTCTTAAAAATACTGCTGCTGGGTATCTTTCTAATGCTTTTAATTTACAGTTACACTTGTAACGCTTGCTTTGTTTTTAGTGATATATGTTCAGAGTTATTTTTCACCCAGTTACCCAGTTCACCCAAATTAGGGTATTTTACAATGGAGACTCTTTTTTCCAACCCATATCTTAAAACACTTATCTCTTTTATTTTAAAATCCTTATCACTTCAACTCAGAAATGTGACCTTTGGTAGAATTATTTGTAACGCTGCAATTCATTCCATAAATTTGATAAGCAATTCAATATGAATATGTGTCATGTTAAGTTAGAAACTTTTTTTCTTTTGTATTTCAATTTTTGACGTTGCGTAATTGATTCTTGTCTCAATATTGGTTTATTTATAAGTTCAATTTTGTTCAAGAATATTTATTATCTTATAAAGAAATAAAAGTACTTGATACATAAGATAAAATAATAAGATACTTATGAAGATCTCCTTTTCTTCTTGCTTTCAAGATTATTAATTCTAATATTTATAATTTCTAATATTTTAAGTTTTTATTTATAGTTAAATTCTTTTTTAAATGGTATCAATGTCATTTTATTCTGAACCTTACCCAAGATATTTGTTTTCTCTTTTATAACATGATAACCCCACAAGGATTGTGGGGTCTTTGTATGAGTTTGCTGATTTTATACCAAATTTTAAATTGTTTTTAACATGACCAATGTTGAATTTATTTTTGGTGAACACAAAAAAATTAGCTGTTTTAAAAAACTTTTTTCTTTCACTTTTTAAGTCCAGCGTTGTTCAAAGAATATTTTAATCTTGGACTTTTGTTGCCATAATCTTTTTTGTATTAAAATATGTAAGCCATTTTTTGACCTTTCATATTTCTGAAAGTATTTTTGTATTATCTGCGTAAAGCTCTGATTTGTTCTCAAAATTATAAGCTAAATTTTCAAAAAATTTAAAAGTAGCATTTGTTACGTGTTATAACAATAATAAAATATTTGGAACCTATGTTTTTACGACAAAACCCCTTTTTCTATATAATAACTTATCTAAAATTGAAAAATAAGACAAATGCGTCAAAATCAGGTTTCCACTGATTTCTTTTGAAATCGTTCAATATATTTTTAGAGATTCTGTGGGTTTATTAAAGAATATGGTAAAATAAACCTAAGTGAATCAAAGGACAAAACCCCTTTTTCTACATAAACAATAGGCAAAGTATTGAATCAAAATGATTAAATTTTCAGTGTTGTGTTGGCCCCAAGCGCTATGCAGAAATCCTGTGTGGTCCTTAAACTTTTTATCTTGGTAGGGAATTTTGAAAAAAAAAAAATTATTTTACTATATTTTTAAATGGTTAACAAACAATTTTATATTCACTTAACTTATGCTTTCGCAAATTTAATTCTTTAATCATCTGATTTGAAACTTTAAGTGCTAGTATATTAGTGCTTTGCACAGGGTTGATAGGTTTAAACCAAATAGTTTAGACCAATTGAAAAAATATCAATTTAAACCAAACTAATTTTTTGTTGAAAATATTAAAACAAATCGGGGTTGCTCTAAATAAGTTACAAAAAGATCAGAAAAAATAAGTGACACTGCTGAAATTTTTATTAAGCTGATAAACATCAGCTGAAAAAATATATATTGGAAACTAAATATCTTCAGACTGTTAGTGATACTCATTTTCTTGCAAACACACTAGATCCTAGATATCGAATCTTTCTGAAAGTAAAAATGAAGCTGCAATGACCTTTAGAGATAAAGTATTTACGAACTTGTTACCAGCAATATTCAAGTTGAAAGCCAAAACTGCTCCATACTATAAAAGCTATTTTTATAGTGAATCTGTTTTAAAAAACCCATATTTTTTTTTGTTATGTTTTTATTCTGGAACCCTGGCTTTGCATAATAAAATGAAAACATTATTATTAAAATCTGCCTCAAAATTAATTGCAAAAAATGTTTATTTTTAAATTGCTTTATTGTAATAAATTAAAGAAACAAGAGTCAATAGTTGGATTAAGCAATTACAGAGGTCAGGTTGAAATAAACAGTCCTGAAATTATTTAATTAAAAAAATCACAATCGCTAATTTTTTAAGTATTAAAAAAATATAGCATGTAAAATAAAGTTTTTTTTTTTTTAATATTTTATTATCAAAACCATTTAGTTTTAAATTTAAATAATCCTTTGCCGGCTATTACTATTGTTGTTATTTAAAGTTAAAATCTCAAATTTTTTTTGCAGTCAAAATATTTTCAAAATAATAAAAAATAATTTTAAAAATTTGTTTTTCTAAAAAGTTTTACTATAAATTCTATTTTAGAAAAAAAAATCATTTCTATTATTAAAAAAAGTTACATTATTCTAATAAATAAAGATTTAGTTTCCCTAACTAAAGAAATTGCTGTTAGACTTTTTAATGTTTTGTTTTTTTTTAACCAAAATTCCAAGTTATCATATAAAAAGTGAAAATTAATTTAAACAATAATAGAAAAAAAAATCTGGCTTGTGCTTTTAAATATTTTGTATGAACGCAAGCATTTTAATATAACCTTGTTTTAATTAAAATAAAAAATGTGTGCGTTTTTCTGAGCAAAAGTTTATCACAAAGAATTTTAAGTTTTACAAGTTTTAAGGCAAATTTTTTTTTTGCTTTTACTCAGTAATTGGTCAGCTTTATGTAAATCAAAATTTCAGCAATTTTGCTTAATTTTTTATTTAGGTAAAGCTGAGTAAGTTGCTTAACATAACGTGAATAAAAATTTGTGCTAAACTGCTGAAGTTTTTATTCACATAAAACTGACCAATTAATAAGTAAAAGCAATTGCTTTTTTTTTATTCACCTATCATTATTACCTTATTAAGCAATAACACCAATGCTTATAAAAACTTTTTATAATGCAATGTAACTCTAATTACTTCACTTAAAGTTACAAGTTATATTTCAAATGCCTTCAAATCAAACATATATGATAAAATTTAGTATAAATAGATCTTTTAAGAAAACGTCTGCATGCCACTGTAAATTTAACACTAATATTATTAGGAGTCACCAAGTTAACAATATTTGAAAGAAATAAAAAATTCAAAAAATTTTAATTTTAAATATCAAGTACAGTAAACTGAGGTTTCTTTGAATAGAGGGGTAACTTTAAATATAAATCTATTTTTTTTTATTTCAAACTGTGATAATGATAAGAATTTTTATGAAACTTTTTATGCCTTGAAAACCAAATTATTAGTATTTTATTAAAATGTTTTATTAATTTTGATTATAAAGTTTTTCTTTGTTTATTGGTTATTGTTTCTTAAAAAATGATTTAAATATATATATTTATTATATATTAAAATATATATTTTTCTCTGAAAAATAAGCCAGAATACTTTGTACACTACCTCAGCTCGTGTAACAGCTTGTTGTCTAAGTTGCATAATTTTTTTATAAATTTATTAAGCCTGTAATATCTAAAGGAGTTTGTTAGTATCTTATAGTTAATATTCATTGCTATAGCATAACATACTTTGTTGTATAAATTTTTTAGCATAGAATTAACTTTGAATAACCGGTATGCAAAATTCAAAGTAACCCAACAACATAAATTGTCAGAAAGATGATACACTTAATCAGTCCTTTTATTATTTAATATAAAATAGTATTAAGTTTAAAAATTACTATATATCATGGGTGTAAACAGTAAGTAATACACAAACAGGGACATGCACACATTTTTTCTAGCTGTAATTATGTCCGTATATTTATGTCTGTGTTGATATATATATATATATATATATATATATATATATATATAATATATATATATATATATATATATATATATATATATATATATATATATACATACATATATATATATATACATACATACATATATATATATATATATATATATATATATATATATATATATATATATATATATATATATATATATATATATATTTATATATATTTATATATTTAAATATTTAAATATATATATATATATATATATATGTATGTATGTATATATATATGTATATGTATATATATAAATGTGTGTGTCTGTGTGTATACTTTATTTTTTTTGAAATCAATAAATTTTTAATCATATATACAAAAATATGTTGTATTATATTTCCTATAATCATGTGTAGTGCCTCTGGTCAAATTGTCTCTGGTTATGTTTATAAAGCTGCTCATCTAATGACAGCAAGAACTGAAATTGGACCACCTAATGTAAATTATAATTGAAATCAGGACAATTTGATTCTATTTGCTTTTCTAACTGTTTTATGATGGCTTTTTGTCATATTGTAGGAATTTAGAACTTATTATTCGTTATTATTAAACGTTATTATTAGTTATAATCTAAGTAATCTTTTCATTGAAAACTTGTTGTAAAAATATTTATTTTTTTTTACTTAATTTTCTATTTTGTTTTTTAACTGTTCATTGAAAATTTCATCTAAAGAAGTTGTGAAGAAAATACTATCTTGTTTTTTAACTGCTAACTCTACCCATTTATTGCAACCTCTTGATTTTGCATTTTATGGACCACTTAAAAGATATTGGAGGAAAATACTTGATCGTTTAAAAATCTCCTGTTTAAAATAAGCACAGGCAAAAAAGGGTAGCAGCAACTTAGTAGCTGGTTTTAAAAAATTTGGTTTTTACCTAAAAAATGTAAATAATATCCTCAATCATTTGCCAGACAGTGATAAAAATATTAAAACTGTCAAAACTTATGTTAACCAAGCAGTAGTAAATGTACTTTAACAATTGTGTCGTGTTGATATCAAAGAAAAACTTAAAGCAAGAAAAAAAAATTCTTAAGAGGATTTTCTGGCAATTTTAAAGATGTTCCACTTGGATCATCTCCTGTAAGTAAAGCTGTTATAAATAAGACTCTTTTTATGCTGGTCCTCCAAAACCATACCCTTTATAACAAAAAAAAACGAAGCGAATGAGTGTAATTTGGTTGCATATAAAAAATTCAAAATCCTGCATATTGTTATAACTTATAAAGTCTAAATGAATTTGTTTGCTAAAAATAATTTTTGCTTTTTGATTTTTTTTTTTATCAAAGTTGTAAATTTAAAAAAATTTTGATTAAATTAAAAATTTTGTTTCATAATTGTGTTATAAAATAACATTAAAAATTTATTTTTCATGATTTTTGATGTTAAGTTTGTGATATTGCAATTTGTTATTACTGTAGTGATATTGTAATGTGTTATTCGCATATTAAATTTATGATATTGTGATGTGTTATTGAGAAGTTAAATTTATAATATGGGGATGTTTTGATTAGAATAAATATAGTGATCAAATAAGGTGGTATTTAAACTAGCTGTTCTCATTTAAAATGCTAGTTTTGATTTTTATTGTTTTATTTTATTTTTACAATTAACGATTATTTTATTTTTACAATATAAATTAACGATTATTTTATTTTTACAATATAAATTAACGATATACTTGTATTTATAATTCAGAAAAAAGTTTTAAAAGTGTTTATGTCTAGGATATGAATGTTCAAAGCTTAAGTGGCTGAACTTAGGCAATTTTATGGTATATATATTTATAAATGTCATTTTTTTTAAAGTTATAAAATTTTTGGAGTTTATAAAAATAAATTTATTTAGTCAAAAATAAAAGCTTTTTCACATGAAATCTAAATAAAATGCTTTTCCTTTAATAGAATGCTGTTGCAACGAGGTTTAAGAATGAATAAAACTTCAGAAAAACTTTGGCAAGAGGTTTATAAAAACTTTTATTTAAGCAATTCTTTGTTAAATTTTAATTTCTTAAACTTTAATGTAGAGATTACTTTATTTATTTATTTATTTTTTGAGTTATCTTTTAACATTTTTTTTTTATAATATATAAATTGTTTCAGTATTTTCGTATGGAGTTGCTTCATGTTGAAAAGGTATTTGTTGAATTATATAAATATATTAAAAGTGAAAGTGTCTAGTAAAACTTGACCAAGCTATCTAGTTACAAATCTTTGGTTTTTATTTTTTATTTATGTCATATTTTTCTGTATTTTTCAATATGTTTTCTTGAAATGAACTGAAATAATTTTTATTTAACTATTAAAGAGATTACTTTAAGTAAAATACTGTATTATCTTTATGAGTAAAAAGAAATTAACCATGTAAGAAATTGAAGCTTTTTATGAAATTAGAAGTATTTGACTGGAGAAATATTGCAAAAGAATGGTTTTTTTATGGTATATGGCAACCAAATAGTTGCTTACCATATATTAAGCAACTTTTTACTTGAAATGTACCATAAAAAATGCTAAAGTAGTTTATACCATAAATGATATAACAAATATTCTTCTGATCTTGAAATAATTTGCTAAAAAACAGTAAAAGTTTCCAAATGAAGATTTATTAAGGTTAAAAATTTTTCAAAAAACACAAAAAAACACAAATCTGCACCCTATATCACCAAAATTTTTGAAACTTGGCACAAATAATTATAGACATATGTTAGGAAAGATTGTAATTTTTTTTCATAAAGTTCCTTACCGTTAATAATTTACAGCAGTTTGAAGTTTCCTTGATTTTGACTAAAAACTGAGGGGGGAAAAGTGCCGAAAATCATTCTGATTACTTTCACCTTAATATGGTGCTTGTAGTGATGCCACAATTCTGAAACTTTGTACCAAAAGAGTTTAAAACCTGTTAAATCTGAAAATTATAGTTTTTTATATGTCAAATCAACGGAATGTAGCTTATTTTAAGATCCATAAAATAAACTTTATAACGCCGAGAAAAAAGGGCATTCACAATTATAGCTATAAAAAAAATCTGACTGATATAAAAAAAATTTAATTTCAATTTTCTTAAAAATAAGATCAACACCTACTTTTCGAACCAATTTTGTTTTGGCCTTATATTTACTTGAGGAATTATTGATGTTTGATATAGACTATTTTAATATTTTTTAAATTAGACACTTAATATAACCCCACCTTTTACCAATCAATCAAATTAGAAACTAAAAATTTAGTGACTTTATTATCTTTTTCATTTTCATATGATATTTACAACCAAATTTAAACGTATATAAATTTTTTTTTTTAAATACTAAACTTTAGTGATTTTATATATGCTTTACATTCACATTATTTACAAGTTGGTTCACAAAACATTATATTTAAAAAAAGAATGGATAAGACATAATAGACTCATAAATATAAAAATCTCTACTTCCTTAGGAAAATATTTTTTTTAAGTCCTCTTTGGCTAAATAGTAGCAAAATCCTGTTTTTGTTATCGGTACCTCAACTTTGCAAATAATGTGGACATCAGAAAACTAGCATTGGCTTTCCTTTGGTGGCCATTTAAACGACCGTGCAGGACCATTAGGACACATAAATTTTACAAGCACATCTTTTTCTTCTAAATTAATATCTTTAATGACTCCTATCCACCACTTTTGCTCAGGAAATACAGGCATAATCACCTAGTACTTAGGTTTACAGTTGTAATCTGGATATTTCCAAAAGTTATGAATTAAAGTAAATTCTTCATCAACACTGCATAGCTTAGTGCCTACCTAAACAAAATAGTAACATATGCAATTATTCCGTTTTACTTATCAAACATGTTTATTTAATACATAGATAACAAATGCAGAGGAAATAAAATAAAATACAAATATTTTTGATAATGATTTTGCAAAAATCTAATATCTATTTGAGTATATCAATAAAAGTTATGCAAGTATTTTAAAATATGGTAAAAGGTATAATTAAAAAATAATAGTTTACCTTTTGATAACCAAGTGGTACAAACTGATGGTAACTACGTGTTCCAGGTATTGTATTAGCAGTATCCAAACGTTCTTTAAGAGCTGTTCTCACCAAAGTTAAATCTTCTGATGAAATATATATGAAATTTATACCTTCAATGTTTTCATTGCAATATTTATACATTGTTTGTGGAGATAAAATATGATTATCCGTATCTCTTTGCAAACTTGCTAGTGTTGCCAGACGTTTGACTGTACCAACTATCCCATCACAAGGTTGCTTACTGTGACTAGTTGCAAAAAAGTTCCATGTAGCAGTAAAACCAAAATCTTCACAATAGAAACAAAGATTTAACATATTTTTGCAATTCTTATATTGACCTGCACACCCATCTGAAAAGTATTCAGTATTTTTTATTTGAGGCAAATTTGTTTTTATATCATTGCAAACAACCTCAATAATTTTATAAACCAGTTTCACATCATGGATCATATCATCCGAAATAATACAATAGGATTTGTGCTTGAGAATGCCTTCTTTTTTGAAATAAATAATCACTGGATGAAGTGTACATTGAAAATTTGTTGAATGAAAGCTTTGCACTTCATCCTGAACTACAAATTTATAGTTTTCTGAAAAATCACCCAGAAATAATGCTGTTACCTCATTCATATCTTCCTTTCTTGATCTCAGGTATAATGCTTGACTCTTTGCTAAATAAGAATGTGGTGCAAGTTTTTCCAGTTTTCTACATACTAGTTCAATGTATTCAAACACTGGCTCTTTATTATGTGTCAAGTTTGACCTATCTGTTGTTGTCCATAGATCAAATTCAATCTCATCATCATCTTCAAATTCTCCAAGTATATCATAAAGTTTATCAACCAATACATTCATAGTTGCTGGGCATTTTTCACATTTCCTCATCATACAGTCTTTATTAGTTATATCACAGACAATATAAGGTAACAATTCTTTGTATGTCACACCAAGAGGATGTAAAAGCAGTTTCAAATTCTGATGAATAGAACAGAATGTGTTCCTGAGGCACCAACAGTAATACACCATTTAGGTCGCAAGGTGCAAAACCTTGAAAATCCTATTTTTATTTCTGGGTTCTTGGTTTTAAAGGCAACAAACAATTCCTTTAAATTACATAAAAGCAAACGTTTTTGCATGTGGACATTTTTGTTTATGCTTACGTAGTCCTTTTTATCAGGCATTATACGGCTATGTTCATCGTCTTCGTAAAAGGTCTTGACCAGTTAAATCAGGAAGAGCTTTTCCTAATTTAAGATTAGGCATGGTTAAGATACCTTTTTCTAATGTTAACTTACGTGCAGTTCGAGCTACATAGTTTGTTACATGCAATGTTTCAGATACTTTTTTTATTGACCAGTCTGTTGGAGCAAGTGTCACAAGTTTTACTTTTTTTGATGTTGATGTAGACTCTGCAATTTTGTTAGTTAACAATACCATCATGTTATCAAACAAGTTTGCTTTTTCCATATACTCATTATTAAAACTTGACTGTTCTTCACACTTTCTTCTGATATATTAAGGGAAATGGCTACCTTTTTTTTAATGGAGGTTGTTAATGCTGTCAACTTTTGTTTACCTTCTCTGATTTTACCTGACTAGTGCAATACTTTGACCTTAATTGGAGGTACTCCGGCAGATGCAAAGTGCGTATCTACACTTTCTTTTTTATTTTGAATAGATCTTTTATTAACGATATCAAAATCTTCATCATTTTTATTTTCACTTATACTTTTTGATAAACATGTCATAACTTTACTTCGACAGGTTGGACACAATTTGTTATATAAATAACTATGAAACATTGAACAAATCTTATTACCAAAAAAACTTATATGACTTATTAATATTGATATTACCTAATGAAATATAAATATATAAATTTTTACCTCTACACACCTTTTGGTGACTCAGAAATGGATTACAGCAACTTTTCTGATTGCCCTCATATCTTACAACTAACATATCATGATGGTGTGTGCATATATTGGTAATTTGTTCTTGTTTCAGATTTGTTCGTTTTTTAAGTAGCTTACGATCATTGCTGTCAATATCTTCAATCAGATTTCTTGAGTATATGATTGTTTATAACAAGCTCCATAATTATTTACAAAGCAGCAATTAATTTTGTTATCCATATAAAAATATAATGAGGAATCTCTGTCTAAACACTTAATACAAGAAATCTTAAATAATCTTAATGTCCCTAACAAGAAAAGTACACTTGAACACAAACAATATCATATCAATATGTATTTATAAAGAACATATTGCTTGAACAAGTAGCTATTAGTTTAATACACATATTTTAAATGCCTAACTATCTACTAATTATTATAAATTTTCCATTAACTACTTTCAAAAAGTTGTGTAAAAGTAAAAGATAACTAAATATAATTTTATTTAGTTATGTAACTTAACATGGTAATGTTAGTTAGACTATATCATTTTATTACTTTTTTTATTGATGATAATAAATGTTTTATTACAACAAAACAATCATCAACAAAAGTTACATAATATTGTTAAATTTAATGACATGATATTATGTAATGAAAATGACATTATTATTATGTAATGAAAGTAAAAAGAAACAAATTTATAAAATGTTCAACTATGTTTTGTAATAACTTTGTAAATTTTTTACAAAGCTATTACAAAACAAAAATAATTGTATTTGTATTCAAAACATATTCGCAAATTTTTTTTTTTTTTGCAAAATATCTTTAGAAAAATTGAAAAACTAAAACATCAATAACTCCTTGATAAAACATATGGCCAAATAAAAATTGGTTCGCAAAGTAGATATATGTTTAGTATTTAAAATAACGAAAACCAAAACTTTTTTTCATCAGTCAGATTTTTTCTAGAACTATAGTTGTAAATGGCCTTTTTTGATGTCATTAAAAAGTGCATTTTGTGGATCGAAAAATAAACTATATTTTATTGTTTTGAGAGATATAAGTTTATGAATTTCAGATTCTGCAGGTTTTAAACTCCTTTGGTACCAAGTTTTAGCTTCGCAACATTACTACAAGTTTGTTAAAAGGGTTATGGTAAATTGACATATTCCCGGCTTTATCCCTCATCTTTTTTCAGTCAAAAAATAACTAACTTCAAGTTGCTGTATTTCTTAAAGGGTTGAGAATTATTTGAAAAAATTTTACAGTCTTTCCTAACTTATATCTTTAAACATTTGTGCCAAATTTCAGTGAATTTGATGATGCAGTGTGCAACCCCTTGTTTTTTGAGAAATTTTCACCCTTAACTACTACTATATAAATTTTATTTTGCAGCTATTGCTGGCGCTTGAAAATAAAAATAATACAACATAGGAATGTAACTTTATGATTTTGATAAACAATACACATTTTTTATCACATTTTTATATTTGCAATTGTAACTTTATGATTTTATTTTTACTAAAAACTGAAACAGCTTTTTTATTTTGCTAATAAAAAGAAATTTTGAATAAAATATATTTTTAAACTACCAAAATTGAACTTTTTTAATAATTTTGGTTAATAAAATTTATATTATTTAAGTAATAAAATTATTTTTATTATTATTAATTTTAATTAATAATAATCCAGCTTTAATCTACAAAATATTTTATGGAATTTTTAATGATAATAAATAATTTGGCCGAAAATATATTATCACAAAAGTTTTTTTTTTTTTTTTTAGTTAATGCTTAATAATAAATCTCTATATATTGTAAAAAACAAAATAAATTATTAAATGACCAATCAAAAAACTCAGTTTTTTTTTTCAGTGAAATATTGCTAGGATATTGTGAATTTTTTAAGTTTTGAGTTTTTGATAAATTTATCTGGTGTAACAAAATGAGAATAATATAAAAAAACAAGAAGTATGTTGTAGAATAAACTACATTATTTTTTTCTTAAAACTTGAGCAACAAAATTTCTACAAAATTATAACAATGATTTCTACGAAAGTAGAATGAAAATGCAGCGCATACATTAACTCTTTTGTAGATATCTGCACGTAAAAAATTATGATATAATTTTTTAATGTCTTATGTCAATTTTTTAGATTAAAAAGCGTAGAAAACTGTTGGGTATTGAGGGAACTATAACAAAGGTTTGTTTTCTAAAAAAATTTTGTTTATTTTGTGTATAGTTGTTGTTTTTTTGTTTGTTTGTTTTTGATAAGAAAATGAATTTTAAAATAAAGACTGTCTGGAATGATAACCCATAGGGTTTTTGAAATAGTTTGAATTACTTAATTGATTTTGATAATTTTTTTAATGGTATAAAGCAAATTTATCTCATATATCAGGGTTGCCAGATTTTTTGGGGGGCATTAGCCAAAAACGAAACAAAAATAAACCAAACCAAAAAAAAAAAAAAGAAAAAAATCATAATTTCTTATTTTAAAGCCTTGTTTATAATTTATATTTTGAAAGAAATGCTTTTTTATCCAAAAATTCATCCTTAAATATTAAAATTAAATTTGTAAGAAAGTGAGGGGGGAGGAGAAGAAGGAGCTAATGAATGGGTGCCAGCCCTCCAGCCTTTAAAGTAGCGTGGGGAAAGTAGTTCATTCCCAAACACCTATACTAAATCTGACACTATCAACCTGTAAAACATATTTATTTTTTCGCTTGCATATAGAAAAAGATTTCTTTTCTAACCTTTTGCGATAATTGACTCAATTATTTTAAAGTCCTGGTAAAAAATCTTTCACCTTTTAAAATATGATTTGATCCAAATGTCTGCATCCAAGACTTGGTTTGATAATTTCTTAGTCTGATTTTTATGCAGATGACCTGTGAGAAAACTCAACAAAATAATTAGAAATGGAACACATAGACAGCCAAGGCAATAGGGATTTATGTTGCTGAGGTCTAGGTCTCTGTAAAGTTCTAAATGGTCTCACGAAGCAGTTTAGAATTCAGCGGTGTTTTTAGAAACTCATTTTTCTTAAAAGATTTTAGACTTGCTCTAATGATGCAATGTCAATTAATTTATGATTAATGACAATTTCTGTAACGATTTTCAATTTCTTCACGTTTTGCATCCGTAAAATATAACAGTAAATTTGAAATGGCCTTTCCAACTTGGGAAACAACATTCATTACAGGCAGATTTTTCTCTAAAAATGTTATTTTGAATGTAAGAATTTTCTAATATTTTTGTCAATTAAGGGATAAAAACAACATTTTAATGACATTGCAAGTAAAGGTTTTTGACATTTTAAGATTTTAATGTAAGCATTTATTTCATTTACTTTAAACTTCTATAAATTATAGAAGTTTAAAATGAATTAAAATGAATGATTGTTCTTCTATAAGATAAAATAAATGGAAATCTTTTTTTTCCATCAAATTCACCTTTTTCATGAAATAAAAAGATTTTTAAAAACACCAGGAAAAACAAAAAGACCAAAGACTTTAAGATAAACCAGATTTTCTAAAATAAACCGAAACAAAAGTTACAATCCAAACGATAAAAAAGCAAACCAGATTTGAGAAATCTGGCCTTAAAAAACACCAGATGGCGACCCTGTCATATGTAATAATGTAGTACTAAAAGTAGTTTTAAAAATCATTAAATCAAATATCAAGTATCTTCAAATTGTGGAGTTAAGGTTGCGGATTGAAAAGAAAATCGAGAAACCAAGAAAGAGGTCAGTCAAGTTTAATGGCTACAAGACATACAAAATGCATAAATTCCCTTGAAGATCTCAATACTAATTCAGCAAAGGCCGAAAATGTGGTTGAAATTTGCTAAAAGAATAACTGCAAGGTTATCAAAAGTGCATTAAAGTGAATGATGAAACCTATTGCTAACTTTGATGCTCCCAGGCCATTTATTTTATAAAATTCTAAAAGGAACCATGCCTGAAGTTTTGCTAAAATCAATTAAAACCAAAAAATTTAATTTAGTATGTTTTGGTTTAGCAAACCATCAGTTTGTGTGGTTTTAAAACTCAAAATGTTTCAAAAATATTTCAAAAAAATCCATTGTCAATTTTTTTCTGTACAGTCTTTAAAATTTCATATTTTTTATTGAACACGTATTGAAATTTGTTCAAGTAAATTGAAATTTTCTGAAATAATTTATCTATTGAAAAAAATTATGTTTTAAATGTATTGAATGTTTTTATATTATCTGATTAAAAAGTCAAAATTTGCTATCTTAACATTTACAATTACAGAAAAGAATATTATTTTTATTATTTTGATTTATTTTCATTTAAAGAAAAATACTGATACAGGTGATACGGAAATTACTTTATGTAACTTCCATATTACCTAAATTAAAACAGTACACAGTATATCTGAATATTGTGCATTTTTAAATTCAATTTAAAGGCAGACAATATAATAAAGAAGAGCAATTCCAAAAAATTATGCATGGAAACTTGTTATGTTTTGTCTATTATTTTCAATAATCTTTTCCAACTTTTATTTAATTCTAACTTATATAAATATAAAAAAAAGTAAGTTTGTAAACAAAGAATGGTATTTATTAGTAATGTTATCAAAGAATAAAGTTTGAGGCGAAATCACACACAGAACAGAAAAAATCAAATTCTAGTTACTAGATAAATAAACATTAATTCCGCAGAAAGTTTTACCAGTATACTTTTTTTTCATATATTAGTAAAGGATTCCAGAAAGTTACAGAATTGCATCATGTATCATAGACAAAGCAGTAGTTTAAAATCATGTATGGTCATGCACAGAAGTTACAAATTTTTTTGATTTCATGTAGTTATTTTTATGAAAATAAAATGCTTGTGAGTATTTCAAGTGAAGTTTATCTCTACAACTCACAATTAATATATTTTTGATAATAAATTGCAGTCATCAAATACTCCTACCTGCCTATAACATTTAATAAATTTTAATTTTTTATTTTTTAAACTATTGCAACATTTACACACAAAAAAGATAAACTAATTAAAATATATGTTTAAATATTCAGACATTACATATAAATGAAAGCAACCACTATTATAGTTAGAAGTTACTGAAAAAAAAAAGATTTATAGGGGAAGTTACTGAAAGAAAAAATTTATAGAGGAAGATAATGATTGACAAACTACATAAAAGATTGCAAATTATATAAATCAGGAAAACAAGATGAAGTAAGTGAATTCCAAAGATCTGATGTTCGAGAAAAAAAACTAGACAGATAAGAATTTTTGGAGCACTTAATAACATTCACTGTAAAAGGATAAAGCTTAATTGAATGACAAGTAACATAAGAATAAATTTTAGTAGATGACACAAGAGATGCTAGCTCTGTAGAGCAGTGCTTATTATAGTATTAATAGAAAAAGAAAGATAAGCAACATTACAACAATGTGATAATTTTTGTAGGTTGACTGCAAGAGCAGGTCCAACAATGTTTACAATGCATTTTTGCACCTTGTCTAAAAGAGAAAGGGCATCATTCAAAGATACAAGGGTGAATTTAAGATTTATAAATATATAAAATAGAGTCCTGAACAAGAAAGTGGCAAGCACAATAAAAAAATGCAACCTTAGCAGATACTAATTTTGAAATTTTGCAACATATCATGGATTTGATATGTGGTTTTCAAGAAAGATCAGAAGTAAGAAATAATCCTAGAAGATAAAGGGTAGATGACTCATAGAGTACATTAGATTGTTGTGATAACGATTAGCTGAAAAAAATTGAGTTTTATCTGAGTTCACAAGCAACTGAGAGCCCCATGCTGTCGCACAAGTGAGATCCTTCTCAAGCTCAAATGCCTGGTTCTAGCAATAGTGTTGTCCTTATTATTAAGAAAAGACTAAATGGTAATATCATCTGCCAACAATGCCACTTTAGATGTGAAAATTTCTGGAAGATCATAAATGTAAATTAAAGAGTATAGAGTCAAGAGTAGAACCTTGAGAAACCCCTGAAATTACAGGGCATGAAGAAAAGTGCTATCCATTATGGACAACTTTTACACTACAATTGGTAAGGAAAGATTCAATAATCTTAAAGATGTTACCTGATACACTGTAAGAAGAAAGCTTATGGAGAAGACCAGCATGCCAAACTTTATCAAAGACTTAAGAAATGTCGAGAGCGATAACGTAAGCCTCTCCACATCTATCTAATTCATGATAAAACCTATCAGTTATTACTGTTAACAAATCAGCAATAAAACGAGAAGATCCTTATTGATGATTAGAAAGTAAGTTATTAGATTCAAGATGAGAGATTAAGTATTTGTTAGTTAAGGACTCGAAAACCTTTTTTGTTATAGGAAGAAAAATGAGATGGCAGTTAGACAAGTTAGATTGCTCTCCAGAATTTTTTGAAAATAGGGATAATAGATTCCGCTTTCCAGCAGGATGGAAAACAAGACTCTGATAAGCACTTGTTGAATAGTTTTGAAAGTATAGACTCAGCTCCAGAGAACACTTCTGCAAGACTAAAACAGGTATGTTGTCCTTTGTAGAAGAGTCTAAGCAGGAAATATCTTTAGATACAGAAGCTGGAGTGGTACAAAAGTCAGGCAATTGACTAACCTGTTTGTCAGCTATATCAGGTAGAATGCGACTAATGGAATCAAGAGATGATATTGATGAGAAGTTCTTAGCAAACAATTTAGCCTTGTTTTTAGCCGAGGTGACAAAATCTGAACTATACAAAAGAGGTGGAATAACAGATATTATAGATACTGTTAAAGATTCTCCAGAAGTTACTAGAGCCTAATTTCTGAGATGAAATACAAGGATTCATGACCTGAGAATAGTGGGCTTTGGCATTAGACAAAACCTTTTTTCAATGGTTTCTAGCAGTAATAAATAGACGTCTTTTTTCTAGAGAATTGTTTTGCTGATAGATATGGAAGCAACGGTTTCGATTGGAAATTGCAGCAGCACAATTAGAGAAAAACCATGAAGAAGAGTGAGGCATGACCTAGAATCGTTAAGAGGGAATAAAAGACTCTATGCTAGCCTGAATCCAAGAAGTTATGTAGGAAGCACATTTGTTAGCAGGAAAATAAAAGATTTCTACTCAAGGGCTATCACAAAGAAAATTATGGAAAGAGTCCCACTCAGGTTTTAGGTAGTTGTAAGAGATCTTAATATTGCACTTTTTTGAATGCTATTTCTGATTAGATTGACAAAGCCCTTTCTCTTTATCCTTCAGCCAATATTGTTGTTGTTGATGACTTTAATGCTCTTTACCCTGAGTAACTTGGCTCTAGTGTCAGTGATTCTGCAGGCTTTAAGGCCCACAACTTTTGTCTTTCTCAATCTCTAACTCAAATAGTCAACTTTTCAAAGCTTTCCAGACAATCCGAATCATTTACCTTCTCTACTCAAATTATATCTTGTTTCTGATCCTAGTCAGTGCTCTTTGCTAGAGATTAGACCCAGTAGAAGAAAAGTTACTTCAAAGACCACAAATATTAGTGAATGATAGATTTAGAGAACTTAATCATGACAATGGTTTTTTGTGTTCTATAGTTTTGATACTCAAGTCATTTTTTAATTTATTAAAGAATTTGACTCTAAGCACAGAAAGTCCAAGCAATTGCCTCATTTCTATTAATAAACTCCACAATGCACATCAAAAGTGCAAACAGGGACAATAGATATTTTACAGCTGTTGATGGAATCAACCTCTAAGATATTCCACAGAGTTCGGGAAATATGACTACTAGCTGATCTTTGAACCACAAAACTGAGTTTTAGAGCTGTACCCTTATTAGGAGATAAAAGATGAGTTGCCTAATCATATAAACAGAAACAAGGAAAACATTTGAATTGAGTCAAAACCATGCATTGGGTCAAAAAGATCCAGCATGCATTAGGTCAAAAAGTATTCAACGTCCTAAACTGGAAGATTTCTTAAACTGGAAACAAATTATTATAAATACTTCTACACCAGCTTAATAGATGAAGAAATAGGGTGCAAGCCTGGTCAATCGATAGAATCTGTTTGCCTCTTATTTGTTCTTAAAGAAAATCGTAATAATATGCATATTACTATAAATCCAGCTTCTAATTGTAAAAACAGAAATAGAAAAATCATGCACAGAAATAGAAATGCCCTGAAACTAATGATTAAGTAAAGAATTACATATTTTAATTGTTCTTTTGTAGAAGAAAAAACTCTGTATGCCATCATTTTGTTTGCATCGTTGAGTAAATTTTTAAGTATGTCATCTTGTTGAAATTATGAGTAGGAGTGTGAAAAACTCTGAAAAGGCAAGTCATTATTATGCATTTATGCATGCTTAATTTTTTTTTAAATATCAGAAAAAATCAATAGTTTGAAATTTTGATTTGCCTATAAGTTTGAAAACCATATTTTATAGTAAAAACAATTTTTTTTTTTTAAAGAAAAACATCTTTAAACAACTCACAATGTTGCATATAAAATAAAATTTTATTGAGAAGTATGAGACAAACATTTTTCTTATTGCAGCACAAATCGACCCTCCATTTCAACAACTGTTTGTATAAAGAGTTCAAAACTGCATCAACAGCATCTGGTTTAGCACAAAGTTTTTGGTAGTGGTCCATCTGGTATATTGCTTTTATATCAAGAAAAGAAGCTTTTATAGCGTTATTAGACTGTAAATACCATTTGGCATAAAATGTAAATTCACTTATTAGCTTAGTTTTTGTTTTGAGTGTATTGTTCTGATTTACAAACTCGAGTTGGTTGGAAAGAAGCTGAAGTTTTAGATAATACAATCCTTTGGACAGGAACCTAGCATGATGAACTGCTAAAGGTTTTCTTAGTTTTACTGTAGATGAGAAAAGTAACTCACAACAAGTTCTGCAAGTTTCTTCCTATCTTCTCTAATAATATCTTTATTTTATTTTCCCTTTTCTAATATATTCTTGACAAAAGTTCAATGATTCAAGTGCAGCCTTCTCAAGAAAAGTTCCCCTCACTGCTTTCCAATCAAACTTTATTAACTCTGTTTGATTGTAACTAAATTTAAGATTTTCAAACATTGTTTTTAATTTTTTAAACATATGATTACCTGTTGCTGTGGAATGCTCATTATATTACCAAAATAAACCATTCTCAATTCGCCTGGATGCAATAAGTAAAAGATATTTAGCCATAATGTTGGATATTCTGATTTAGGAACCTTTATTTAATCCAGTGTTACTTGCAGTAGTATCAAAATATATTCCTCCTACTTTAAATTCAAAATTGTATTTGTTTAAAAGGTCCATTACACCATTGAACTGGTCATCACCAGACGATGTTGGTAAAGGAGGTACTTCCAGAAGGTGCATCTCACCAATAATATTTACAAGTACAGCAAGTCTATGATTTTTAATTATTTTTCCTTTGTTTAGTTCAAATAATCTTTTCCCATTGAAATGCACTATGCATGGATATGGGTATTTATTCATTGCTTTTTAAACATCTTCTTTTGCTATTATGCTTTAATTATGATTAGCATATTTCATTTTCCTAGCTGCTGTTGACTGGCTACATTTGAAATCTGTGCTTCCAATTTAGTTAGAATAGCACTTGTAACTTAGTGCAAAACACATGAAGAAATATCACAGATTGTAGCCATAAGCGCTACATTACCAGCAAAAATATCGCTTGGTTTTTCAGCAGTGACTTTCTGTTAAAAAGATTCTTTTTCAAATCACTCACCAGGATCATAATCAAATTGTACGAAGAGTCTTTGCTGGTATCTTTGTTTATCTCAACAAAAGATTTACCCTTAAATCCTTTCTCTCACTGTTTTCTCTTTCTGGTATTCTCTGTTGTCTAAAAATGATAAAAGCTCACCACTTTATAGTTTAATTTATTTATACAAAAATTGAAGTGAATATGAACATTGTTATTATTTTTGTTAGGCTTTTTTTATTTTAAATCTTTTTAAGTGTCAAGAAAATAGTAAGTTAATAATTTTGGGGTTTAAATGAAATACATACTTTTTTTTCTCCTCCTGAAAAACAAAGTCCACAAAGTTTGTGTGCATTGGATCTTTTTTTTGTCATTTTTGATTGCGTTTCTAAAATCAGGATGCCAACCCAAAATATTTTGTTCTGGTAAATTTTAAAATCATGTTGCCTTGCCAAATCTGCAGTTGATCCCCTTTTTTCATGTTTTTTATGTTTTGAGTATTCATTGTCAGATTTGAAATTGAAGTATTCATTGTTAGATTTGAAATAAGAATAAACATTAATGGATTTTGAAATTATTTTTTTGAGAAAAAAGTCCTGTTGAGCTCAAATTTTATGTGAGTTACTTTTTTTAGTACTTGCTCCAAATCTAGAGGGTAAGGTATTTTAAATTTGAAAATTTCCTCAAAATTACTACCTCTAATATATATATATATATATATATATATATATATATATATATATATATATATATATATATATATATATATATATATATATATATATATATATATATATATATATATATATATACATATATATACATATATATACATATATATATATATATACATATATATATATATATATATATATATATATATATATATATATATATATATATATATACACATATATATATCTGTGTGTGTGTGTGTATGGGTAGTTACACTATAAATAGTTATCACTAAGTGTCGTAAATTTTGCTTTAACCCAATAAATAGACATGTGTCTGATGTTTATTTGTCATTGTTTGATCTTTTATTGTTATGCACAATATAAAAATATTGTTTTTCAATATCTTTTACCAGCATACAAATGAAGAAGAGCCTGAAATGATAGAAGATTTTTTAGCTAACAAAACTGCAGAGATCGTTTTTCAAAATGCAGTAAAACAAATATCTGGTATGTTATAATTAATGTAAATATATTTATATTAATTTCTTTTTAAGTTTAGTATAGTTAAATTTCTCATTTTAAGTATAGAAAGAGCCATAGCAAGCCAACTTTATACTTCAGGCAAAAAAAGAAAATTGCGTCCCTCCAAAAAAAATTAAAAAAATTATTTATTTTCACAAAATTTATCACATGTGTAAAGTAGAATTTGTCATAAATGTTGCACAAAGGTTCAGTTCAAGTTCACTTTTCTGGCTTTTTAATTGGTTTTGATGACATCACAAGTGAGTTTCCCCATTTTAATTGGAGCAAATTCACTAAAGATGTCAACAAAATCAAGGGTGTTAGCCACTTTATGTTCAATTGAAACTATAGCTAGACTAGACAAATAGTTGATCTCATGTTTTTTTTTTATGAGTGTAAGTTTACTTTAAGTAAACTTTTTTCACACATAGCAACTTTGAGGGGTATAGTGCGAGTAGCAATTGCCATGTTCGGATAAGCAACTATCAATAAATATTTATAAATAAGCTGCAAAAGTCAGTTGAGCTAGAAATTTTAAAGTTTTCCATCATTGCAGCAGTTTGATATTTAAAACTTGAATTTTTAACTGAAAATCAGAACAATCTAAATCTTTCTAGTTAATCTGAAATAACTTAACTAAATAACTTTTAGTGAGTAAATGCCCACATAGGAAGTCAAATCGGAGGATACAACAGTCAAATCAGAGGATACAACAGTCAAATCAGAGGGTTTTACTATTGTATCCTGTTGTAGTCATTTAGACAAATTAAGCAGCCTCAAACGGCTACTTAATTTGTGTAATAATACTGTCACACTCGATGTTGCAGTGGTATAAGAATTCTGTTAATGCTGTGAGAAGATGAAAGTCGTTTTCAGCTTCATAAAGTGCCATCCTCTTTGCTTTGCACTTCCTCTTGATTGGAAAGCCACCTTTAATTTCATTTTGGGTGGCTGTTTCTGCAGCATCTTTGATGATGTTTTCCACCCCAAAATCTCTCAAATTCTGAATGGAAGCTTTCAGTCCTTTGATTTTATTTGCTGCAATGTCAATTGAAATGTTGTTATACTGAAGCAGCTTGTTTTCCCATTAAAGAAAGATTTTGACACCAGAAATACAACAAACATTAAAAACTGAAATTAATTTGAATGATAAGATTTTTTACACTACAAACTGCAACTGAATTTGAAATGGGATTGTGGATAATGGATTGTGAAACTTGAAGAACTTTTTGATTTGCCTGTGCTATATTGTGAATAATTATTTTTTGGCTTGTGTCACTGTTTCCCTCTAATGAGAATGTCAATGTTTTCATCAGTTTTTCCCATGTTGTAGATGTAGAACTCAAGTTTTACAGCTTGTATATGTAGAACTTGAAAAAAAATTAAAGATGGTTTGAGTTTTTATAAAAAATGTGATCATGAGGGGCATGGTTATAAGAGTAAACTTGTCTTCTTCTAACCCCAGTCATGTATATATTTGTTTTTATAAATTACGATGGTAAATTATTTTCTTATTGGTAAATAAATAATCACAAATAAGTGGTGAAACTTCAGTAGCATGGACACCAACAAAGTTCAAAGTGTGAGATGCACAAGGAGATTTTGTTGAATTACAGAGAAAATGGATGTGAACTTAGAAGCCATTGTTTTTTCCAGATATACTGGCTCCATTATCATAAATCATTAGATAGCCTTCTCTAATTTTTCAGTGGTCTCTGCTGCAAGTCATTCTTTGGTGAGGTTCAATAAAGTCCACAAAGCTTTAATCAGTAATACAGGTTTCTTCATTGATGATACCTGTTTATTTTTATCATCTACTCCTTGTTGAGGCATCTGTAGTGCAGTCAAACAGAAAAGAGTAGTTTTTAACTTCTCTGTTGTTTGACTATGTTTTATTTCTGACTTTCTGTCTGAGTAACTCAATCAGCTGATTTCAAATTTGAGGAGAAAAGTTTTTTATTTTGCATTTTATTCGGCCACTAAACAATAATTGCATATCAATTCAATCAAATTTAGAAAAATTCCAGTTTTTTGTTTACTGATGACTTCTGTTGTGTCTTGAAAGGGTTTTGTTTATTGCGCAGAACAAAATTGCATCAACAATTACTTTCAAGATGTCTCTCCACTTTTTCATATCTCAATTGATAACTCTCTGCAGATTAAAATCCATGGTCTTTCCTTCTTCAAGGGTTTTTTTGAGAGTTTTCTATACAGAATAGTATCTTTGGTGTTCATTGCTATTTTCATGTTCAGGAATTTTTGGGTTTAGTTTTAAGAAATTTGTTTTAAGAAATTTAAGAAGTTGTCGAAATCACACAGCGTGTTTGGAAGAAAGTCTCTTCTTTTTTGCTCTGGACCATGCTGAATCATAAAACATCTTATTTTTTCCGTTACTTTTGGCCAGTCGGATAGCTGGAAATTTCATCTTCCCTTGTTGTTTTAAATTATTTGTGAAAAATTTTTCTTGACTTTGGCTGATAAAAGCTCTTCAATTAATTCCAAATGATGATCTGAGCTTGAGTTATCAAATTGAGCTTTTTGAAAAACTTTATATTTTGAGTTGCCATTAACCTCAACACAAATACCATCTGAAATAATTTGTTTTTCCCCTGCAGAGTTTGTTACCAACCACTTCTCAAAACAATTTCTATTTTCTCATCACTTTCTAGGCGCTGTTTTCTTTTCTTCTTAAATTGAGTGCCAGATAACTAATTAGTGTGATTCATTATTTCCTCATGTTGATAAGTTATCAACTATGTTTTAACTAAGTTTTGGAAACCAATTATGCATTTTTTGCAATCTAAAAAATGATGCTTATGCTGTGTGTTTTTTCCTCTTTTTTTAACAATTTTATTGTAAAAAAAGGTTTTAACATTTTTATTTGATTATGGGACTGTCCATATAGTCTTGAAGTATAAAAAATATAAGTAAAATTAGTATTGAATGTTCTCCATTAAATAAAAATCAACTATGTTAGTGGTTAAGGTGGCACCTCTGTTCAGTAAATGAGCTTTTTTAAGTTAAAGTTAAACTTTAAGGAGGGCGATTTTTTTTTTTTTTTTATCAACATCAAAGAGATGCCATAAAAATTTTTTTCTAAGTGATAATTATTCTTTTGATTAATTTTAGGGAGTTGAGCACCCTCCTAAGTTTGGTGTCTTGGGCTGAGTCCCAGCTGGCCTCGCCCTTAGTATGATTGTGAATATAGGTCCTATAAAAAACTTGTTTATTTTTTAAAACCATGAAAGACTTGTTAGTTTGCTTTTTTAAATTTGTTGTTGCTATGGTACCTAATGAACTAAATCTAGTTGCTTAGTAATTTATAATGTTAAAAAAAACAAATTGTGTGATCTAATTTAAAGTTAAATTTTAGTTCTATATTTTTATTTTAGATGTCAATTTTTGCTTATCGTTTTTAAGTATATCTCAAGAGTTTGATGACACAGAAAATTTGCAACAATTAATTCTTCAAAGGTTTCAGTTTTTTTTATTGTAAATGTTCTAAAAGCAATGCATTGTATGTAATCTATTGTAAAGAACAAAACTTTGTGATTATTGTAATTTAAAATTCTTCTAAAATTGAAATAATTCCTATTATTTTATTTTTGTACTCATAAAAATTGATTTGTCTCAACATATGAATTTTTTGTTTTTAAGTTCCTATTTATCATCCTAATGGTGAATAGATTAAAATCAAAAAATGCATAATAACGTATAAATTAAAATAAAAAGGTGTCAAAGAAGTCAGAGTTGTCATAAGAATTCTTAAGTCCTCTTTTTAAACAATTTGGCTCCAGCAGTGCTATTTCACATTGTTTTCACTTTGTTTTGTTTTACTTTAGCACCTTAGCACTTTTTCCAACCAGTGAAATTATGTTGGATACCATTGCCAAGCAATCATTAGTCATGCTTCAAAAAAAGAGAAATGAAGAGTTTGTAAAAGGTATTGTTTAAATTTTAGTAACAAAGCTTGAAATAAATCTTTTAATAAGGGTATAATAAGATTGTGCAATTGTTGACCCTTTTGATATAGGTTAGTCAGTAATCTAGACAGTCGGTCAGATTAGCCCTGAAATGCTGGATTAGACTAAATAAAGTTTCAATTATGCTGTAAAAATTTATAAGTTGTTATTGATTTCATTTCTTTGCTCATTAAAGAACTATTTCTTTTAGGTTGGAGATATTTCTTCCAATATACTTTAAATAACGAATTTATTTATATTAAGTTTACATGCAGTAGTAGTGTAACATTTATATGTTGATTTGAAATTTGAAAAAATCCTAGTGTCTTCTAAATCCATAATCTAAATCCATAAAAATAAAACCTAGAGTCTTCTAAATCCATAATCTAAATCCAGAGTCTTCTAAATTCATAAATCCTAGAGTATCAAATATTTTTAAAACAAGAACTCCTGTACTCCGAGTTTGCATCCCATATATATATATGTGTGTATGTATATATATATATATATATATATATATATATATATATATATATATATATATATATATATATATATATATATATATATATATATATATATATATTTATATATATATATATATATGTATATATATATATATATATATATATATATATATATATATATATATATATATATATATATATATATATATATATATATATATATATATATATATATATATATATATAGGGTAGCAAGTAGTAGTTTTTGCATTAATCTTTTTTTTTTCTTTTTCCAAAAAAACCATATGAAGTTATCATCAAATCACAATAGATAAGCAAAATAATGTAAATTGATAAAATAAAATTTATAAAAACATATAAAATGTTGCACTATGATTATTGACTTTAACCCATGTTTTATCATATGATAAGAAAATGATAATTTTTGATGATACCAAAATGGTACAAGAAATTATTTCAAATTAAAACAGCACTGCATATTAAAATAATCAGGAAACAAAATCATAATAAGTAATAAGTATGAATTTTGCATGAACTTGGACAAAATAAAGATATTCAAGAAGAAATTAATTGAAGAAATTAATTGAAGAAATTAATTGAAGTCATACATTTTCAGAATGATGTAAGATTGCATGATTTTGAATTAATTAAAAGGAAAAAATTTAAACAATCAGTAAGCTAGCAACAAATCAAAATATTTATGTTATATTAGGAAATGTAAAAAAATTAACATATAAGTAATATATAAATAAAAGCTGTTATTTATCATATAGTTATCATCAGTTAATCATGTAAAAAAAAATATCTAAAATTTTAACATCTTAATTAGATCTAATTTCTAGTTTTAACATCTTAGTTTATAATCTAGTTTCAACATCTTATTACTATATAATCTAATTTTAATATCTTAGCTTTCTATTTTTATTATGTTACTTTTAACTAGTGTTTTAGTATTTAAATAGCTTTTTTAATTTTTTTTTTTTTTTTAATTGTTTGTTTTTTTCTTTTAAATGACAGTATAGGTTTTTTGATTAGTGGTAATCTTTAGGTTCATGATTATTTAAATAAAGTTTATTTTCATAGTGAAACATGTTGACATGATTTCAGAATTTTTATATAGATGTTCTAGGTTTTTGTATAAAATAGTTTCGGTTTTCTTAAGCAAGTAAACATCTTTTTGATAATTTTTTGTAAGTTAGGACTTTTTTAATTATTGACCGGTTTAATGTTGGCGCTATATTTATTTTTTCCTTAATATCCCATCAATATTTTGAGAGTAGTAGAGTTTGGGAGGTTTTTTGTTTTTAAAATACTGTTTATGATTTGATCATTATTTTTTCCACTCTATTTCTGAGATACCTATATAAATTTTATCAGGCTTGTTTTGGGAAAATAATACGCATTTATAAACTATATTTAAATTTCTGCATTTTAAAATTTGCACCATGTTTCTAGTGCAGCTGTTACTCATTTTGAACTGTGTTTTTGTTAAATAACTTTTGCAATGGGTGCAATGATTAAAAATTACTTTTTTTAAAAATAAAGTATAAATATTTAATATTTTTCTGATATTAGAATATTTTTCTGATATTATTAGAATCGTTTTTACTATATGACAGTTGACCATATTATTTTTTGTGTTCTTTTTTGTTTTGTTTTTGTCTTAGGATTATATATAAATGTAAAATTTTTAAAGCCATTTTTCTTTAATGCTTTTTTGTACTTTGTTTTCGATGAGTCAAAAATATTTTATAGTAGAACTTTTTGATAATCTATTATTAATGGAAATGGGTATTTGCTTAATTATTTGTTTTATGTTTTACTTTAGTTTTATTTTATAAAAACTAAAACAATAGATGTTAAAATTTTAATTATATTTTTTACACAAAAAATATCATTAAGTTTTTATTACCTAATGATCGCTGTATGTGTGAAGCTTAAAGTTTTAAATACAAGCATTTTGAAGTTATTTTTTTTTATTTAACATAATTAACATATTTATATGGACCTTATTTTATTTATTTTATTTAATCTCATTGAAAATACATGCAAGTACTCCTTTTAACTTAGGTAAATCTTTTAACTCAGGTATAAAAACAAAACTAGACATAAAAAAAAAGTTTTTACTTTTGCATAGCGATACGGGTTAAATGAATTTGTTTGACTTAAAAACTGGCATAGGATCTTGTTGCAAAAGTTGTATTTTTTCCTTTAAATATATATATATATATATATATATATATATATATATATATATATATATATATATATATATATATATATATATATATATATATATATATACATATATATATACATATATATATATATGTATATATATATATATATATATATATATATATATATATATACACACACACACAAATTTTTACATCATACATGCATACATACATTACATACATACATACATACATACATACATACATACATACATACATACATACATACATACATACATACATAAATACATACATGCATGCATACATACATACATATATATAGTAACATTTTTTTATTAGATAATGATTGGATAAAAGTTGAAGATGAAGTTCAGCAAAAATATGAAGAGGCTGTTCAAAAAGTAAATACCTGTGAGGAAGTACTTTTATTTAATACTGACAATTCAATTTAGTAATTAATAAGTAATAAATAAATCAAACTGAAAATGAATCAACTCTTTTATTGACAATTAAGTTTTTAAGTATTGGGTTGGTGCTTAAATACAAAATTTTATTTAAAAAAAAAAAAGTTTAATTAAATTTGGTATTTATAATTCTATAATTGTTATTTATTTTTGTGATTTACTTAGTAGATTCAAAGGGCAAAGGAGTCTCAGTTTTGTGTAGATAATCTTTTGGCATTTGTCATCAAGTTATCTAAATAGGAGAAAAGTTTAGCAATTGACTGACATGGTAGTTTGTCTAATGGAGCCAGATAGGCATTATGTTTTATCTTAATTACTTATTTGGCAATTTTGTCAATTTTGTTGTTACTCCAGCAATAAAAAGTTCCATTCCATTTGATATGATTTCCCATCAGATATTTTTTGCTTCTGTAACACCATCTAATTCTGTAACCCATCTAATTGTTTTCTAAAAGTGTACTTTTTTTTTCAGGTAAATCCCTTATTTTAATGTTTTTAAAGAGAAGTTGTGATTCAACTGTTAAAAAGTTTTTTTTTTATAATAACTTATTTTATTGCAGCAAGTCGATATAAGTTTTAATAAATTTGACATTATTATTGTCTCATAGGTTTTGAGAGATCCGTTCATCCACTTTCTATATTTTCCAAGATTTTTAGATAATTTCAGATTTATGCATAAGCTTTATATAATTTTTAAATAAAGATGTTATATAGATTTTTATAAATGTTTTATTAATATAATATAAAATATTTTTAGCATTAATGTGGGAAAAGTATGTTCGTACATTTACTAAGTTATTAAATGAAAGTAGAAATCAAGCTGAAGCAAAGCGAGTATGATAAGTTTTTGATTTATTTTTTTTTTAATTGTTAGTTGTTTAAAACTTAACTACTATAACTATTTTATTGTTGTTGTTTTTTTACTTTTATTAACTTTTAAACATGTTTTAATAGGCTTCTAACAATATACCAAGTCTTTAAGCCTTTTAAAATTTTCAATTCTTTTTAATATATCAAGTCTTTCCTAGATTTAAAGTTTTTTAGGCAAAATTAATAACTTCTCAAAGGTTTATCATGTTAAATCAAATGCTTTTAATAAATAAATTGTTCTGTAAAAAAAATACTGAAACATGTTTACAATTGCTAAACACAAGAATGTAAATCTAAATAAAAAATATTACTTATATTTTTTTTATGAATGATTTTTTTTTCAATTTTATCTTTAAAGATATTTATATATTTTTATTATTATTGTTTATATTATTGAATAGATATAAGATATATGGTATAATGTTAATTACTTGATTTTAGCGTTACTTGATACTTCAAAAAATATTTGGAAAAGCTGAAGAGCAAAATCAAGCTTCAATAGATTTATACTTGGTATGGGCCGAGCTATTTATTGATGTGGGTGAAACGCAACAAGCCTTAACTACATTATCCAGAGCACTTTCACTCCATAAAATGAGTTCAAGACTCTGGGTCAAGTATTTGCTTGTTAAATGTTCTTTGGGAGGTGTGTTAATTAAATCTTGTTTTTGTTTATGACGCTTCACTCTTAGGTGGTTTAAAGCCAGTCTCCGTAAATTTCAGGTTTCTTTTGTTTATGTGAGGGTGACATGCTTTTTTATCATTCATATCTTGTAGGAGAATTTCAAAACACTGATTTAAAATATAAAAATAACTTTTTGGCTTATAAATTCTTTAAAAAAAGGTTCCCTTTTCACTGTTCTTGAGTTCAATACATGAATATGAATATTATGAATTTGTGTTAGGGTTTTGGGTCAGCATATAATACGATGAATTTATAACATAATTAGTTTCTTAATTTATTACTTTATCATTAAAAATTGAGTTATCCGTTATATGTTATTTAGTTATACCAAGGGTTCTCAACCTTTTTCTACTCTAGAGCACTTCTCAAATATTAGTAGGGTAGCGCGCACCACCTGTTTTTAATCGGGAAAGTACAAGCATATGACTACTTTAGGTTTTCTGCATGTACATGAAATGATGTCCGAATAGCACTCCCCGTTACAGGATAGCAACTGGCTCACAACTAGACAAGTTGTGACAAGTACTGTCAGCAAAGGAACCACTCATACATGCAATATCACAAACATGTACATATTTAGCAAATCTCAAAAATAACAAAAGCACTCAAAAAAATTAAAGCTCTAACAAATAAAAATGCTTCACATTTTCAAATTAATATTTATGAAAAAAAAATTTCACTGTCGAATAGTGGTGGGCACATACAAATCATTCTAAAAGCGCCATGGTGCCCACAGGTTCTGGGTTGGGAACCCCTTGCTTATACTAATCAGTGTTATATTAATGTTTTTAATAACCTCAATACAATTTTGTATTGTGGAATAAGGGGAAAAATGAATAAAGAGTCACCGCCCCAAATATCTATTTAATTATGGTGTCCATTAGATTTTGCTGATTCAATTTTTTTAACACTCATTTAGTATCTCAATAGTTCGAGCTGCATTACATAGTATTTAAAAAAAGACTGAATCAAAATAGACTGAAATAAACAAATAACATAAACAAAGCCAATCATTATTAAAACAAATATAAATCATATATAAACTAAAATGGATTATAATATAGTATGTAGTATGAAATTTGAAAAAACGGAAGTTTTATTTGCATCTTAGTGGCTTAAAGATATATGGAAAGAAAGAAATTCATGCAGCTCGGGTCTATTGTGCAATGGAAAACAATGCTATGCCTGTTAAAACAGTTTAAAACAGAAAAAATGAATAATTAAATACTTTCTGAGTTAAAAAAAAACTTTTTAGCGGTGTTGAACTAGCTGATTCCAAGTAATTGTTAGTTATCAAAAGACTTATTGTCCCACATTATTATATCTTGATATTTACAATTATTCATTATTTAACCCTGCTGTAATTACTTGTAAAAACTTAACAAGTCCTGTAAAGCTTATAGTAACTTCAAATGAGCTTGAACATCTATTTTACCATCAAGTTGGAATAGAAAATGGAACTGTATTAAAATCTAACTATTGTATGAAACTAAAAAAGGAAATCTGAAAAAATCCCTTAAAAAAGCTATGGATTGTTTGTAATAAAAAACTGCTAAAATCATATCTATAAATTGTTCTTGTCTAGGTAGGTTATTGAAGTCATGTAGTTATGTTGATGCAACCCTCTTTTGAATAGAGTCTGCTGTTAGAAATTGTTTGACAAATGTAGCTTGACTATTACTTAAAATAACTAGTTTAAAATCAGAGTGGCTTTCCAACTGCAGCATAGACTGGCTTCCCAACTGTAGCATAGACTGGCTTCCCAACTGTAGCATAGAGTGGCTTCCCAACTGTAGCTTAGACTGGCTTCCCAACTGTAGCATAGAAGCACCAACAAAAATATGCTACTTAAAATTTGATTATGATGAGTTTGGTATGTGTGGATGAAAAAAGCTTTTACTATTATCAAATGAAAAGCGTAATTACAACCCATTAGTAAATTGTGACTTAGCTTTTAAATTTAACAGACATAGCAAATGTCATTTATGTATGTCATTTGTGTCATTTTCAATAGTTGATGGATTTGATTAAGAACTACTTAACTGATTCTAAACTTTTGCAAGAGACTGTATATATATATATATATATATATATATATATATATATATATATATATATATATATATATATATGTATATGTATATATATATATATATATATATATATATATATATATATATATATATATATATATATTATATATTATATATATATATATATATATATATATATATATATATATATATATATATATATATATATATATATATATATATATATATATATATATATATATATATATATATATATATGTATATATGTATATATATATGTATATATGTATATATATATATATATATATATATATATATATATATATATATATATATATATATATATAAATATATATATATATATATATATATATATGTATGTATATTTGTGCAGGCATATGTCTGTGCAAATAAAAGCACAACATCACATTTCATTTTGTTTACAACCAATAATGTTCTACTCGACATAAGCATTACTGTTTTTACGGCCATTAAAAAGCCTTTACAAATGGAATCGCAAGGTTTAACAGAGTTCTCGACACTTAGATGATTCTCGTTTTAAAAAAATGATAAACTGTTACATTTTTTAGCTTACCATCTATATCATTTTGTGGAACAGTAATAGAATACAATATCAACACTTTTTGAGTTATTACTAGAAAAGTTGTGCTTGTAATGAAATTAACCACTTTGAAATTAACACATCAAACATTCTTCTTTTAGTTATAAGGCAATTTATTTGCCAACCCTCATATTGTCATCAATAAAAAAAAATTCAATATGGGACAAATTTTGCTTGGTGTTATTCAGTTCAACCAACATTTTTTGAAAAAACAGATTGTTTAAATGATATATATAGAAGGTCAGTTAAACTATTATAAAAATTTAGACTGGTTTTAAACTACCTGAGCATGTGATTTTCACATTTCAATTGTGAAATCTTAAGTTTTTAAATATTATATTTTATGTTTTAGATGAATGGGAAGTATTACAAAAAGAATTTAAACGTGCGCTCAATCTAGTTTCAAAAGTAAGTTGCAATTGTTCAAATATTTGTTATAATACATAGATATTAGTTTAATCTTTGGTTTTTTCGGTTGCTTAATAAAAACTTATTTTTGTGATGACATTGTATAAGTTTCTTTTCATTTATATATTAAAATTATTCTTGCTTGGTCGTCTTTAATTTTTACCATGAAATTTCAATTTTTCATTTATTTTTTAATTAATTTAGAAGATTAGAAAAAGTTTAAAAACTTTAAAATAATTTTTTTTTTATTGATAAACTGTCTGCTTAAACTAAACCCTCAGTCAATGTAGCTGCCCCACATGTTCTACCTATTTGTTAATCGGTGTATGTAACAGTAAAAAAAAAAATATTCTGTGTGTTTTTAAAAACCTTTCTAGTCTATTATTTGTGTTTTTATTTATGGTTATTTAAAAAACAATAAATTTTAATTAGTTTTTTCAAATAAATTTAGTAGTTTTGACAGAAACTGTACTTAATTTTGTCTTGTTATATGACAAAAGTAGTTAAGAGATGCGTATATATGCCACACTTATATATACTTATATATACCACGCACACAATATTTTATTTTGACAACTTGGCCATGACAATTTTCATATTTTAAGTTAACCTTTAAAAAATGTATTGAATAAATAAATGTAAACTAAAATAAACAAACTATAAACTGGAAAAAGAAATAAAAAGTTAAATTTAAATTAAAAAACTTAAAAAAAAATATACAAAGCTAAATTAAAAAAATTAAAATTTTAACAAATGATAAAATAAAAGAAAAAATATTCAGAAAAAAATAAAAGTGTAAAATTAATATGTTTTTATTTTGATTTAGAGGGTTTTTCGCTGTAAAGAATTTTTAAAAAAATAAAAGTTTTAAAGTTATTTAATGTAAGCATAATTATTTCGAAACTTAATTATTTAAAAATTTGAACCTTTGATATTTTCTAATGTCTACAAAGCTAAAAAAAAACATTAAAAAATTTTAGAATTTTTTTCCTCTAGAACTCTCAACCTGATATAACAGTTGTGCCTCATAAATGATGCAATTAATCAGCCCATGTGCTACCACAATTTTGCAATGAAGAAAAAATTATTAGCTTTAAGCTATTAAGTTTGATTTAATAATTGAGAATTAAAAAATATATTAGTTTATTTTTTAATTTAAAAAATATATTAAACTAAATATATATATATATATATAATAGGGTGGTCCATAAAACAACTTTTTTGAGAAAAACCTGCTGACACCCCCTAAATGTGTTTTATCTAATGCAAAAACACTAGGTTTAAAATTTTTTTGAACAAAAATTATTTTTAGGGGTAGCTCAAGGCCCTCAAAAATTTGACGGGTCCCTAATATTTTGAAAAAAAAACTTTTTCTAAAGTATGTCAACCTGGTACTCAAAAGAAGCGATATTGTATAAAAACTTCAAAAATAATAATCATTTTACATAAAAAACATGCCTAAAAAAAATTATTCTCAAAAAACCTGAAAATATTGACTTTTTTTATTTTCAGCTTAAAAACAATAGTTTTTATGCATTTATACCTAAAAAAATTATTTTTATAAAAAATTATTATCATTTTTAAATTTTTTATATAATTTTGCTTATTTTGAGTACCAGGTTGACATACTTTAGAAAAAGTTTTTTTTTCAAAATATTAGGGACCCGTCAAATTTTTGAGGGCCTTGAGCTACCCCTAAAAATAATTTTTGTTCAAAAAAATTTTAAACCTAGTGTTTTTGCATTAGATAAAACACATTTAGGGGGTGTCAGCAGGTTTTTCTCAAAAAAGTTGTTTTATGGACCACCCTAATATATATATATATATATATATATATATATATATATATATATATATATATATATATATATATATATATATATATATATATATATATATATATATATATATATATATATATGTATATATATATATATTTCTCTTTAAATTAGTTTGGTTTTTGACAAATTGGCTGCAAAACTGTGGCCAATGTGTCAAAAAAATGTCTGCTTGGCCATTAGAAGCCGTGCTGTTGCACAGCTTTACTGAGAAGGCTCAATATATTGTATATATATAATTGTCTGTTATATATTGATATAATTTTTTTTTTTTTTAAGGACAGTGTTCCTATATGGCAAATGTATATAGATTTAGCTGTATCAAGTAATGCACCTGAAACAAAAACAATCTTTGAAGTTAGTTAAACTTTTTTTGACTATTTTTTTTTTTTTTTTCTTTTTTTTATATTTTATTAATTGCTATTCTTTTGTTGCAAACTTTTTTTTTGTAGGATTGTTTAAAGTCGTCAAATGAAACAAAAAAAATGTTTTCAGTACAATACATAAAATGGGTTGATCAAATTGAAGGCTCAAAAGCTTTTCGAAAGTTATCCTTAAGGTTTTAAAAATTTTTTTGCTTATTATAATTTTATTTTTGTTGGTGATTTGTGATGTAGATCTTGATTTTTTTTAATGACTCATATGAGACCTTGTAAATGAGTATTTGTCTTTTGAAGAGTATGATTATTAAGTGATCATCCTGCAAAAGAAAGGAATGGGGATGAAGAGAGTGGTTGTGTTTAAATTGAGATGTTAATGACTTCCTTGTAATTTAAAAGCTCAATGTAAATTTTAAATGTAGTACTAACAGTTGGATCATCACCAAAACAACTTATCTAACAGTCTTTTGATCATCTCCAGAACAAAATATCTACCCAGGAAAAAAAGTTCTATAAAATTTCAATAAACTTTTAAAACATTTGGCCTATAAAAATTCTGTAGAATTTCTATAAAATGTCTATTAATTTCTATAGAAATTGCTATAAAACTTTTTTTTCTATAGAAAAAAAAGTTCTACAGGAATTTCTATAAAAATTAACAGAGATTCTATAGAAATTTTATAGAATTTTTATAGGCTATATGTTTTAAAATTTTAATGAAATTCTATTTAAAAAATTTTCCCGGATAACAGTCTTTTGATTGGCAATCACTGTAATGTAATCATTAGCAAGTGGTTTCTTGCTCAAAAAAACTTAAAAACTAATTTTAAATTTTGAGTACTGAACTTTTTTGTTCACTTGAGAGAAACTTTTAATTACCATCCGTTGGCAAGCTATTGAATTAAGGGTTTATATATCTGAGTTTTACTTTTGCTCTGTAGTTTTCTTTCCACAGCTAAAGAGTATCAACTTCCATAATATAAAATCAGTTTAATATCATAATCAAGACTTGACATGTTATTGTTTTTCTTAAACAGATATAGTTTTTATTTAAATTTCAGTATTTAGAGTCAGAAAGAAATAGACAGTAGTAGTGCAGTGTTAAAAGCACATATCTACTGAGTATGAAGTACATAGTGAACATGAAATACAATTTAGAATAAGAGTGAGGGTTAACAATAATATTCATAAAAGTTGTTATGTAGTAGCTACTTTAACTGAGGTTTCCAAACAGGTGTTATAGAAATTTAAAAAAATTGACAATTACAATATCCATAAATTGCCATCCCCTCCCCTCCTTCCCTACAAGTATTACTAATTCTACCTATTTTATCAATGATTTTAAAATATTATAAATTAAAATTGAAAATTGTTTATGAAAATTTTATTATCATTATAGAATGATGAGTGATGCTTCAATGGATTTTCTGAAAGAATGCATTCAGATAGAAAGCAAAAAAGTATTTTTAATTTTTTTATTTTTTTTTATTTAATAACATATTTTTATTTGAGACGAATTGAGATTTGAGATTTGAGATAAATCATTTTTTTATTTTCTATTTATTTTTTATTTTTTTTTAAGACAAAAAAAAATTTAATTGGCATTGTTCTTTGTGTTTCTAAATGATATTACTGCATTTTATTTCTTGGCAGGTTTTTTAAATTGATTCTGTTAGGTTTGCTTTTTTATCTCTGTTCCATGTAAGATTCTCATGTTGAGGCTTTTTGTTCTCATTTTGAGATACTCAGGTTATGTTAAAAGTATTTTTGTTCTCATTTTGAGATTCTCAGGTTATGTTAAAAATATTTTTGTTCTCATTTTGAAATTCTCAGGTTATGTTAAAAATATTTTTGTTCTCATTTTGAAATTCTCAGGTTATGTTAAAAGTATTTTTGTTCTCATTTTGAAATTCTCAGGTTATGTTAAAAGTATTTTTGTTCTCATTTTGAAATTCTCAGGTTATGTTAAAAGTATTTTTGTTCTCATTTTGAGATTCTCAGGTTATGTTAAAAATTTTTTTGTTTTCATTTTGAAATTCTCAGGTTATGTTAAAAGTATTTTTGTTCTCATTTTGAAATTCTCAGGTTATGTTAAAAGTATTTTTGTTCTCATTTTGAGATTCTCAGGTTATGTTAAAAGTATTTTTGTTTTCATTTTGAAATTCTCAGGTTATGTTAAAAGTATTTTTGTTTTCATTTTGAAATTCTCAGGTTATGTTAAAAGTATTTTTGTTCTCATTTTGAAATTCTCAGGTTATGTTAAAAGTATTTTTGTTCTCATTTTGAGATTCTCAGGTTATGTTAAAAGTATTTTTGTTCTCATTTTGAGATTCTCAGGTTATGTTAAAAGTATTTTTGTTTTCATTTTGAAATTCTCAGGTTATGTTAAAAGTATTTTTGTTCTCATTTTGAAATTCTCAGGTTATGTTAAAAGTATTTTTTTTCTCATTTTGAGATTCTCAGGTTATGTTAAAAGTATTTTTGTTCTTAAAAGTATTTCCAAAATTTGAGTCAGAGTTTTTTTCTGCAGTTAAACTTTTGGGTTTTATTAGAAATCATTTTCTTTGCAATTACAATGGTGTTATTAAAAGTTAAAATAAGTAAAAAACTTTTTAGCATAAATAGTTTTTACTTATATATATATATATATATATATATATATATATATATATATATATATATATATATATATATATATATATATATATATATATATATATATATATATATATATATATATATATATATATATATATATATATAATACAAACTTATACAAGATTATGATTGAATTCATCGAGTATGAATCATTTATTTAAACTATTAGTTCAACAGTTAAAGCGTTGTAGAACTTTAATAAATTTAAATATAAAAAAACTTTACACGTTTAAAGCACAGTAGAAATACAAAACAAATTATTTTTTATATAATGGCAGATATTTCTTAAAGAATTTAAGATTTACTTTTGTTTCAATTGTGACAGCCTTTTTCATTTCACATTTAGATATTTAAAACTTGCATTATAATTCTGTTTATCTAATAAATGGTATTCAAATTTGGAAATTCTAGTACTTTGACTTATAAAAAGTCTAAGTATGTTGAAAATTTAAAAAAAAACTTGGATGAAAAACAGAAAAGATAATAAGAATGTAACTAAAAGTTATTGTATTATATTGTATTGTATTATATGAGATAATCTAACTCATGTCATCTGTTCACTTACCAATAGAAATTTATATTTAAAAAAATATTATATTTACATTCATGTCTGTGTTTAAATTTATTTATGTATCTAAATAGATGTATAATTCATATACTAATCATAGGTGTATGCTTGGGTGTATTGATATGGGTGTACTGTTAAAGATATTTATAACTGCTGTTGTAGATGTTATTTATGTATGAAGTTAAAAATATTTATGCTTATTTTTTTCAGAGTACATTTCCCCATTATAAAATAATTTAAAATTGACTTACCTTTTTGCCCCGTTTTTGACCTTTAGCACTTTGTCCAGATTTTAAAAACTTACTTTTCGAAACCTTAAGGACAAATACTTTTATGTTCAAAAGATTTATATTCCGCAACTTAAAACTTCTTTTGAATAGCATTTAAAATAACATAAAAAATAACAAATTGAATAAACAAATATTTTTATTTATATGTATTATTGATATTATTAACTTAACTTTGCGTCTAAATTAATTGTTAAATAAACTTTAAAATTAGGCCCTCCATATATTATTCACTTTATGCAAAATTTTTATGAGTTTGTAGCCAAACGGCACATCAAACTCGAAAAATACTTAACTGTTTATTACCTTGCTTTTCCTTAGACTTTTATTAACCTTTTATTGTTCACTATGTGAAGACATTGATTTAAAAAATATTCCTTTGGCAAAAAACATAGTTTTGTATCTTTAATTGCAAATACAAAAAATTTATTTTGCTACCATAAGCAGTTTTTAAATGACAAAAGACCGCTATTTGGCGGTTATGAGCCGTTAAGGAATAAAATAAAAAAATTATATTTGAATAAATAAACCTTAAAATAATCAATATAATGACTTTACATGAAAAGAATAAAAACAGTTTTTTTTTTATTTAAACATAAAAATATTATATTCACTTGAGAGAAACTTTTAATTACCATCCGTTGGCAAGCTATTGAATTAAGGGTTTATATATCTGAGTTTTACTTTTGCTCTGTAGTTTTCTTTCACCACAGCTAAAGAGTATCAACTTCCATTTTGCGATTTTTGCAAAAAAAACTCTATTTTCAACATGATATTAACGACAATTAAGTTTTTTCTTGCGATGTTCAGGCCAATGATTTAAACTATCAAGCTGATTATCTCTATTTGGTAAAGGAATTGAATTCTTTCGCTTTTGTGGTGTCACTTCCTTAGACAATTTTCTTTTAGACTGTTTGCCAACTACCGCAAAGGGTTTCTCTGCATAAGACAAGATAGATGCAATTTGTGTTGTAAACTGAAGTAACGTCAGCTGTTTTTTTTAGAAATATTTAATTGATTGTAATGATGCCTGTAAACCAACCATCCATTAATGTTACAAATGTCAATGCAGTGAAACAAAATTTTAATGTACCACCGCTTGGTTTTAATATTAGTGCGATAAAGTGAAATTAACATGTCACATAAATCTACACCCCCCATGCATTGGTTATCTTCTTTTACTACTGATGGACAATTTATGTTGACAAACTTTTTTTCAGTGCGATTCCATCTTTTAACATCTGATACTGAATCTGGATCACAATATGTTGAGCACATCATACCATCTGGTGATTTTTATTCCTGAATTAATATCACATTTATATGCATGGCTTCTTCTTCCTTTTTTTCCCATTTAACTTTCAGTTGGTAAACAACACCCTTGCATTCTATCATTTCCAATTGTTGCTGTTGTAAGAATTCCCAATTTATTCAAATATAAACATAAATCAATGTTGCAAAACCAATTATCAAAGCAGAGCCTAAAGTTTTGATTTTTTGGTAAGGATTCTATTAATCGTTTCACAACATGATCCGTTAAGTTTTTTAAAGACAATTGCTGCAGCACCACTATACAAGATAAAGTCATATATAATTTCTGAAATTCCACTACGAACAAAGTTCTTAAATCCCCACTTCACTGGCTTTTTAGGATTGTATTGCCTTATTCCATTATAACGAGTTTTGGCTGGAATTATTTGCTCGTCAATAGAGTGCCTATTTTCTGGTTCTTTAGCAAGACAACCTTGACGAACATGATCGAGTACAGGTGCAATTTTTTAAATTTTATTATATTTGTTAACTGGATCATTAACTTTTGAGTTATCAGCAGCATGTAAAAATTCTCTTAGTTTTTTATATCTAGACAAAGACACGAGATCAGCTATTTTAGAATATCGCGTTTTCATTAACCAATTCATATAATAGGCTGGCAATTAGGAAATCGACATGTACATTTGTATTGCAATAAATTGCTTCAATTCAGTTTCTGTTACATTAACAGATTTAGAAGATTTTTGTACACTATAGAGGTTTGTTTATTCACGTAAGGTAAACAAAGTATCTTTATTTATATTTGGAAATATATCAATGGGGTAAAAGTATCAACTTTGTTAGGCGGAAGACTAAATTCACAACCAGTAAAAGTAGTGTCTCTTATCGCTGATCTTTTATTACACCATTTATAATTATGAGTTATTGCCTTAGATGATGCGGCTTTAGAGGTTTGCTCATTTGTAATTGGCTTATCATGAATTATAAATTCAATATTAATTTCATCTTCCAAAAGAATATCTGCAGTCGTACATTCATATATACTTACCTCGTTATTTATATACGGTTAACCACAAATAAATTATTATCATTCTCTTCATCACTACTAAGTTCCAAATCTGAAAGCTCAGATTCTGAACCTGGCTCCAAAATATACTGAATAGCTTCATTTAAGTCATAGCGTGTTTTTCTTTATTCATTTTATTATCTACATAAAACTGTGATTTATATATAAGAAAACAACATATATATATAATTATTTATATGGTTTGTTTACTCTATATAAAGTTTTCCTTACTAAATTTTTTTTATATTAATAGAATTTTTTTTAACTGATAATTAAAAAATTGTTCTAGTATATATAAATAACATAATTTAGAAAATTTAACTATAAAATTATTTGTTAATAATACATTTGGTAAAAACTATTTTATTATTATTTTTTGTTGTAATTGTGTTTTTCATATGTTTTATCAAACTAATGAAGAATTAAGTGTTTTAAATATTTGATAATAACTATATGTTTCTTTAATATCAGTTAGGTGTTTCTGATATAATAGTAATGTGTTTCTAATAGTTAATATCTGTAAGAGTTAAACCATAACAGTTTTACGGGTTGAAACAAAAACGAATCGCTGTAGTTCATAACAGCCAATTGGCGGAATCAAAATAACTGATTAGATATTGATCACATAAACAAACATTACAAACTTGGTTGCATGCAAATAATTAAATTCTAAACTTCAACTATTAAACTAAAAAACATTTATATTAAAATCAGTAAAACCAAGTATAAAGGTCATTCAAAAACATGTGACTTTTCAATGTGAAAACATAATAACTTTATCGGCGTATTTTATAATATCCCATAATTCAGTTTCGCATAAGTTTATTGCAAAAAGATCGTAGTAAGCTAGGATTTTATGAAAATATTTTCCAAATCTATCAAAATTCAAAGTACTTGTCTGATTTGGATTTAAAAAAGAATGCCGCCATTTGGTGGTTCTACCAATAAAGGGTTGGTTGCGAATTTTAAAAGGTTTTTTCTTTATATAGGATGCTCCTAACATAAAATATATACGTTCGATCTATCAAAAGATGGCTCATGAATATGGAAAAAATTCTCTTGGTAATTTTTTCATAAAATCATATTTTGTCTTTTTTCAATTTAATTTAATATTTAACGATTCTTTTTCTACAATTTTTTTAGATGTTTGGTTGGATTATATTAACTTTGAAAAGCAAAGTAACAGCGAAAATATACAGCGCATTACTGATATCTATCTACAAGCAAAAAGAACGCTTGATGGAAACTTAGTTGCTGATTTTATAGCAAAATATACCTTGGAAAGCATGCCTAGTTCCAATAGCTGAAGCTTTAACGACATCTAATTTCTAAAGATATAAGTAAATAGTACTTTAACGAAATAATAAGTTTATGTAATAGCTATTCTTTTGATACAATTTATTTTTATTTAGTTAGCATCAGGAATTTATTTATTTTTATTTAGTTAACATCAGGAATTTATTTGTTTTTATTTAGTTAACATCAGGAAATAATTTAAAGTTAGTTCTTATGTTTAATCTTAAAAAAGATGAAAGAAAAATAGTCAATATTTTGAATCAGTTATACAATTTATTTAGTTTGAAAAAATACAGAATTTTTTAGAACTTTATTTTTCTGTTAGTAATCACTTAAGGCTGTTTAGCAATGACGTATAAATATAACTAAATGCAGCTTTGATAAATTCTTGTTGTTAAGTGTTAGCAATATAAACTTCTCACCAATAGGACAATAAACAGGATATATTCCGTGTAATCTTACAGACTAGTTCGTTTTAGTTAGTTCTTTGAGCTTTTATTTGCCACACATGCATTATGATCTGTATGATTACATTGGATTGACCTGGACCAACTGTCTCCGAGTAGTGTTAGGTGCATGGATATTTTTAGAGCTTTGTGTGACTTTTTTGACTGTGGTTGTGAATATTCATTCAGATGTACTCTTAAATGCTATGATATTGATCTCTTTGTTGTGTGGGATGTTATCTGTAAGAAACACTCACGTACAGGTCAAAAAATTGTAGATGTTCCGGGTAATCCGACTGAACAATTCGTTATAAGTAGTTTTTGCAGCTATTACCTACTATCCCTGGATCACGAGCTGCATGAGTAGTACTAGATTAACCCATACTCATTAGATGCATAGACACATTTGTAAAACGTTGTGTTTCTTTTTTACTGTTGTTGTGTATAATCATTCATGTGTACTCCTAAATGCTATTCTGTTAATCTCTTGGCTGGGTGGGATGTTAGCAGTAAGAACCTCTACCTTACAGGTTAACGAATTGAAGATATTCCGGGTAATTCGATTGAACAATTCTTTATTAGTGGTTTTTACAGCTATTACTTACTATGCTTGGATCACGAGCTGCATGAGTAGTAATAGATTGACCTATACTCATTCTTTCATAACTTTATTTGATGTATAGACACATCTGTAATACGCTGTGTGTCTTTTTTACTGTTTTCGTGCATATTCATTTCTTTGTACACTCAGATACTTTTCTGCTGATCTGGTTGCTGTGTGGGGTGTTTGAATATAAACTTCTCACTAATAGGTCAACGAATCGTAGATGTTCCGGGTAATCTGACTAATTGGTTCGTCCTAATTAGTTCTTTGAGCTTTCACCTAACATACCGGGATTATGATCTGCATGTCAAGAGTTGTACTGATTTATACTAGTCGGCTTAGAATAATACTAGTTGCATTGATACGTTTGTAAAACTTTGTGCGTTTCTTTTACTGTTGCTGTGTATATTTATTCAGCTGTAATCTGTATGCAATTCCTTCTATATTTTGGTTGCGTGAGGTGATAGCTGTAAAAACCTCTCACTAACAGTTCAACAAAATGGAGAGTCCCGGTTATCCGACTGAACAATTCGTTATAAGTGGTTTTTACAACTATCACCTACTATAACTAGATCACACACTGCTTGACTTGTACTAAATTGACACATACTTATTGTCTCATAAATTGTATTAGATGCATGGACACATCTGTAAAACGTTGTGTGTCTTTTTTAATGTTGTTGTGTATAATCATTCATTAATGTTGTTGTATATAATCATTGTGTGCAATCATTCACTACTAAATGCTGTTCTGTTGATCTTTTGGCTGGGTGGGTGTTAGCAGTAAGAACCTCTCACCTACAGGTCAACGAATTAAAAATGTTAAGGGTAATCCGACTGAACATTTCGTTTTAAGTAGTTTTTACAGGTATCACTATACCTGGATCACAAACTGCATGAGCAGTACTAAATTTGACCTATATTCATTGCCTCATAACTGCATTAGATGCATAGATACATCTGTGATAAGGTATGTGTCTATTTTACTGTTTTCGTGGATATTTATTTCTTTGTACACTCAGATACTTTTCTGCTGATTTGGTTGCTGTATGTAGAGTTTGCAAAAGAACTTCTCATCAATAGATCAACGAATTGTAGATGTTACGAGTAATCCGACTGATCGATTCGTCCTAATTAGTTCTTTGAGCTTTCACCTATCATACCGGGATCACAATCTGCATGTTTAACGTTGGATTGACCTGCACTAACTGTCTCATAATAATACTAAATGCATGAATACATTTTTACTGTGGTTGTGAATACTTATTCATGTGTACTCTTTAATGATGTTCTGTTGGTCTCCTAACAGACCATTAATAACAAGTATGTTTAAGCCGTGGCGCAGTGGTAGCGCACTTGCTTCAGAAACGTAAGATCCGTGGTTCAAACCCCACCTCTGGGCAAGTTTTGCGACATCGGTTGGGAAGGAGGCGTGAACTTCCTATTAAATGCTCTTCCACGGTACTCTGTGATAAGACCGTAAGGACTTCTTGGGGCACCTTAATCAACTTGAAAAAAAAAAAAAAAAAAAAAAAACAATATAAGATTATTCCTTTTTTGTTGCTGATTTTTTTTTTACTTGAATAACAATTTTTACTAATTGCTCATTAAAAACTCTTTCATAAAAGAGTTTTTAGGAGTTACTTGATAAAAGTCTCATTGGTATTAGCATTTTTGCTTCTGAAGAAACTTGGTTGCTTCTCAATCTGATTGGTGACAAATCATTAATAATGCGTTGACAATATCTTTACTTATTTTTAGACAAACGAAATTTTTGAACACATTCTACATCAGAGTAATCATTTAAAGCAACATGCTGAGCGAAAATGCAAGTTTGATCTTGACCAATTTCTGTTTTAATTAAAACTAAATAAAGCTATTAAAACAACTAAATAAACTATGCACAATCTGCTTCATGTCCTGCTGCTTTGTAAAATACACTTTTTTAAAACAACTCCGACTTGAAACACTCCCTGCCATGGGGCTCTTGGTTGAGTAAAGGCTAGAGACCGTGTGGCAATAAAAAAAACTCATCTTGGGCAGATGTTAAATGCATCCAGTTACTGTCTTGTAGAAGGTCTCCTAGGCAAAGACTTAAAAGGTCAACAGATTCTATCTGTTGACTAGTCTTGCATCTTGCACAGATGTATTTTTAATACATTGTTTCCAGTTGAGGATGTTGAATGCTGGATCTTCTTGACTTAATGCATGAGTTTTGTTTGTGTCTCTGTTTTTATGACTAGGCAACTCATTCTATTATCTCCTAATGATGGTCAGCTCTAAAACTCTGGTAATCAGGTTTTCTGAACTCTGTGGTAGCTCTCAGAGAGGCTGATTCCATCTACAGCTGAAAAATATCAAAGTATTACCAGTGCCATGTTGCAAAGGTGCTTCTTACATAACTTCGTAAATTCGGGCTGACATGAAATCTTTTATTCCCTCTCGATGATTCCAGGTCAAGCCTCACTCTTCTCTATGGTTTTTTTCACATTGTGCTGCTGCAATTTCCAAGCGAAACCGTTAATTTCATATCTATCAGCAATTCTCCAGAAAACAGACGTCTGTTTATTACTGCTAGAAACCATTGTAAAAAGATTTTGTAAAGATTAAATCAATATTATCTCTTGATTCCACTAGTTGTGTTTTACCTGATATTTAACAAGTGCTTATCAGATTCTTGTTTTCCGACATGCTGGAAAACGGCATCTGTTATTCCTATTCTCTGGAATGCGATCTAATTTGTTTAACTTCCGTCCCAACAGTCTTCTTGCTATCAAAAGCAAGGTTTTTAAATCTTTAATTAACAAACACTAAATCTCTCATTTTGAATTAATAACTTTTTGACCATCAATATGGATTTTGATCTTTTCGTTCTACAGCTGATTTGCTAACAGTAATAATTGTGCATTAAATAAAGGTAGAGAGGTGAAGGTCATTGTTCTTGACATTTCTAAAGCTTTTGATAAAGTTTGGCATGCTGGTCTTCTCCATAAGCTTTCTTCTGACGGTGTATCAGGTAACTTCTTTAAGATTATTGAATCCTTCCAGATGTTCTCTTTTCTAAGGTGGGATTGTTCGCTGATGATACTACCATTTATTCTTGTCATGATAAGAAACCAACACTATCTGATTGCTTGGAGGGGGCATTTAAGCTTGAAAAGAATCTCACTTTTGATACAGTATGGGACTCACAGTGGCTGGTGAACTTCAATTCAGACAAAGCTTAGTTTTTTTCAGCCAATTGTTATCGCAATAATCTTCCTATATTTATGATCGGTAATGTACTCGATGAGTCATCTGCCTTTTATCTTTTGGGATTAAATTTTACTTCCGATCTTTGATAGCTCTACTAGAGGTGAAAAATACTCTTGTTGGCGGTTTTGCATCACCTGTTCAACTCTTTAGTGGAAGAAAATTGAAATTACAGTTGTAAAAAATTTCAAAATTTACAAAAGAAATATTACAACAAAAGCTCGAAAACATTGGAAAACATAGGTGAGGGGGATAGTATTCTTATTCATGGTGGAAAGAAAAGACAACCAGGAAAAGTTGTTAAAAGCAAACAACAACGAAGTTTTAATGTAAAATCCTTAAATGGGAATGTCATCAGAAAAAACAAAAAACATCTACTAAAAACAAAGGAAGAAGTAGATTGGGATGTTAATTTATAAGATGATGACAGCGATACTAATATATCAAATACGTGTTCATGGGTAAAAGAAAACTGTCGAAAAACACAACTTCGAGGAAATCATAAACATTATTTTGATTATGACATGCATTTTTACAAGGAGGAATGTATAATGATTGTTAAACATTACACCTTCTAATAGGATATATAAACACACTAAATATTACTATTCATTTTACTTAGTTGAGATAAGCAGACTTTGTGGAAAGAAAAACTGCATACAAATTTTTGAAGTTAGAAGTTTTATCTTTTTATTATTATATTTTTTATTATTATATTAATTAATATTTTTACTTTTATATTTTTGTTTTGTATATTTTTTCTATGTATTATTTTGTTTACATGCGTTTCAAAGTTAAGCTTTCATTCAATTTTAAAATTGTATGCTAAAGGTCTGGGTTTTATTCTGCATTTTTTTTTTGTAAATTGTAACTTTATCAAATATTTTTATGAAGGAATAATTTTTTACTTGGTCACATATTATTCTTGGTTACAAAAAATTTTATAAAAATATTTAATAAAGTTGCAACACAAGTATACAAAAGAAAATGCAGAATAAAACCCAGATTTTTAGCATACAATTTTAAAATTTGATATCATTGAGCACATCTTAGATTTTTCACTGAAATTAGGCATTGTTCTAGATAAACTAAAAATTACCCGAGTAGCCCCTATTTTTAAATCTGGAGATAGTTTTGATACTAATAATTATAGACCTATATCAGTTTTACCATGTTTTTTCAAATTACTAGAACGTGTCATGTATAAAAGACTTTACAATTAATTGACGGAAAACAATTTTTTATACGGTAAATAAATTGGATTTTAAAAGAAACCACTCAACCGACCATGCTATAATTGAGCTAGTTACTCATAAATCTAATGCTTTTAATAATGATTGCTTTACGTTAGGAGTTTTTATTGATCTTTTTAAAGCTTATGACACCGTAAATCAGAACATTCTTCTAAAAAAACTTGAAGTGTATAGAGTAAAAAATAACAACTTACATTGGTTTAAAGATTATTTATCAAACAAAAAGCAATATATGCAGTATGAAACAACAAAAACAATAAATAGATCCATAACTTGCGGGGTTCCCCAAGGCTCGATCTTGGGACCATTATTATTTTTATTCTATATAAATGATTTATAATCAACATCAAACTTATTAAATTTAATCTTGTTTGTGGATGACTCCAATATTTTTTATTCACATAGAGACATAAGACACTTTTTAACATAGTTAACAAAGAACTACATAAACTAAACGAGTAGTTCAGGGGTAACAAACTCTCTTTGAATGTCAAAAAAACCCAATTCATCCTATTTCATAAACCAAATAAAAATGAAAATATTCCTCCTAAATTACCTGGTCATAAACCAAATAAAAATAAAAATATTCCTCTTTAACTAACTGATCTAAAAATAAATAATATTAATATAAAAAAAACTTTAATAAACTTTCTAGGTGTGGTCTTGGATAAAAATGTGTCGTGGAAACTCCATATAAACACTTTAGAGAGAAAGCTCTCAAGAAATATATCATTAATCTATAAAGCAAAAAATTTCCTAAATATCATTTCTTCAAAAAGTTTATACTTTTCATCAATACATAGTCACCTAAGCTATGGTAGCATGGTATTGGCAAGCACAAATTATATTAAGCTTAAAAAACTCTACAGTAAACAAAAACATTCCTGTAGAATTGTCTTTGGAGTAAGTAACAAAGTGACTTGTGAACCTCTCTTATGCAAACTTGGAGCGTTAAATGTATACAAAATTAACATACATCTTGTTTTACAGTTTATGTACAAAATAGAATATGGGCTGATATTTCAACCCTATTTTAGAAAAATAACTCATAAATACCCTTACTAGATTATCTTATAACAACTTTATCATCACAAAATTTACATTAAAATTAAATTCATACTTAATCCAACACCGCAGACCTTATTTGCGGAAATTTTTTCCCCATTGTTACTATCTATTTCCCATTGTTACTATCAAAAGAAATACACTTGAACAGTTTAAATCTGAATCAAAGCGTTTTTTATTATCTACGGACTCAAATTTTCTTTTCCTTTTTAGTGAAAAAATATAAACTAGCACAATTTATTTCTTTTATTTGCTTTTACTTTTATTTGCTCTAAGTTTATTTAAAGATATCATTAGTTTAGCAAAAGTGTGCAAAAATCTACCTGATACAAGTTAAAGGCCAAATATTATTGACATCATCAGAAAAATACATACAAATACCAAAGTCAGAAAATATGAAAATGCAAAAATCTTTTTAATGCATTGTTGATATTATAATTTTTATTGGAAAAAGTGCATTCGATTACAAATCTCACAGGGATGAAGCTTATTTCCTTAACACAACAAGAAGGTGATGATCAGGAAACTTTTTAGATTTGTTACTTTTATTATCAAGTTTTAAGATGGGTGAAAGAAACATTTAAAAAAAGTTTTTAAAAGTAAATGTCTACTTGTAGCAAGGCATATTCCTGGAAATTATGAAAGAGGCTCTTTATTTATTTTTTTTTACTCGAAATACTCAAATATAAAATAATATTAAGTGCAAATATTTGATTCTGTTTTGGGAAACATCTAAATATCTACAAACAAGTAGTTTAGATTACATGAAAACTTATCATATGGTAGAAAAAACTTTAAAATCTAATAGAAAAAATGCCACGTAATTTTGAATCTTTTAGCACTGTTGCAAAATTTTTTGTTGATTGTCAAAATAATTTACTAGAAGATGCAGACTTAGACCCTATTAATAGAAAAATCACAACCAGCAAAAAAACACGTAAAGATAAAGAAATTGAAACATGATTAATTATTAATTGATAAAACTACAAAAAAGCCTCTTAAAAATTTCAAGTTGAAGATTTTTATACTATTATGTATTAATCAGTGCTAGGAAACAAGATTTTTCAAACATGCTGAACTTTATAAAGCAATACTTGTTTTTGATCCCAGAAATTTGTTACTTGTTAAAAATACCTCTACAAGTCTAAATAAATATTGTTCCTATATCAACCAGTTTGTGTCAAAAATAAAGATGGCGGACCTGAACAATTAAAATATAAGTTGTTAAGCTTCGTTTAAAATGGAAATCATTGTCAATGACAATGAAATAAAAAGATATTGAACTAAATAAATTCTCTCAAAAGTCTGATCCAAAGAAACTTTATGATCCTAAGTATAATCATGATTATAAAGTTTCTTTGAATCAAATTTTTGAGGAGCAAGAGATTGAAAAAAATAAGCTCAATATTTTTAAAGCCTGTGTAGAACTGTGTAATAATTGCCTAAAATGCGTATACACACTCGCGGAAAGTGTGGAGTTTTCCTCCACACCGGTGTGTAACTATCACTCCTAGACACAATTGTGGAGTTATTTTGCACAATTTTGTGCATATAACTCCACAATTCTGTGCAGAAGTTGAGTCAGAAAAATTTAATTTCCACAAAAGTGTGCAAAATAATTCCACACTTGCGTCTAGGAGTGATAGCCACACACTGGTGTGGAGGAAAACTCCACACTTTCTGCGAGATTGTAAATTGTGTGCTTTTAAGATATACCTTTTTCTAAAAATCCAATATTTTTACTGTTTATAAATTCTCTCTCAAGATCTATATTGGTTACATGTGACAAAACCTTTCCAAATTGAAACTCATCATATCAAAAAAAAAAGATTTTCCTTTACTAATTTTAAATTAGAAGCATTCATTCTTATATATTCTAAAATAGCCATTCTTAATTCTATTAATATTGGTGTTGTGTCTGATCAGCTGGAGGCTAAAGGTAAGGAGATATATCGCCTTCTTGGATTATAAAAGTAAAGAGCTACATCGCCTTCTTGCATTATAAAATAACTACATTATATTTGTGTTGTAAATTTTCATCTGATTTATCTATATGTGCCAAAATTAAAGTTACGCTCTATTCTAATTTTACGAGTGTTTTGAAACATTTTTATACAATTATTTATCTATATTACAAGAAGCATAGTTTTTTTAAAAATTATTATATATTTTATAGTTTACATAGTGAATAATAATTCTTATAGATGAAAAAAGATGAAAATTGCACTTTGTCATTTAAACGTTCAAAAAATGTCTTTTGCGGTCAAAATTAGAGGTGTACCGGATATTTTTGCCGGATTTGCCGGATATTGAACTTTTCAAAAGTTCTATAAGTGTTTATGAAGAAAAAACAAGTCTTGCCATTCTACATTAAACAGTGTTCAAAATTAAAGATAATAAAATCAAAAAAAAACTGGTATAGCACAGGTATATGCGTTAATAATGTATAAGGAAAAATTATTTTTACAACCAAATTTTTGTTTTTTTTAATTACTATTTTCTATACTTCATCAACACTTATCCTATGTCATACAGTTTTTCTCTTAACTTTTTAAAGTAAAATCTTTAACACTATATATTGTAGACTGTCAAGAATTGTTTTTTCTTCATAAACACTTATTGAACTTCAGATAAGTTCAATATCCGGCAAATCCGGCATAAGTATCTGGTACACCTCTAGTCAAAATGTTCGGTGGAAAGCTATATCCAAGTCCAAACTTTTGGTCTCTTGATAAGAGTCAGTATTTAAATTCCTCAAAGGAATCATTATATTTTTATTGTCGCTCAGTGTATATAATATTCACATTGTAAGTCATTAGAATTTACAGCATACGAAACAAACTAATTATTTACGAACGATAAATCAGGCAAAGCTTGGTACTATGCTTTCATCAAACGTTGAAAGCGTACATTAGGTGAGTGAACTCCAAGTAAATTTGCAATACTAAGAGCACCTTCTTGTATAATTTAAATAAATATTTCTTGATAATATAAATAAATATGTCAATACGTGCAAGACTCAACTTTTAGAATCAAACATCGATGCGCAAATATCTGGAATTTTTATGAAATCGGCTTCGATTGTTACAGGGGTAACAAAACAATTCCCTGCAAACATGATTTCAATCATCTTCTTAAAGCAGTGGTTCCCAACCTTTTCTAACCCGTTCCCCAAATTAAATATCCTAAAATCTTCATGGACCCCTTTGATTTTGAAAAATTATTACAAGGTGAACATTTTAATAATGTAACTTTTATTCATAAGGATAATATTTTATTTAAGGTTTTTTTGAATAGACTAGACACAAAATCAATATTTATCAATGACACAAAAATTTTTTATCTTAGTTTATGTATGATACAAGAACAGATCAGTGTGAATTCTGACACTGCTTACTAGCAATTAATATCTGAAAATTTGGTTTAGTTTTTGATAGAGCACATCTAATATCTGCATCAATATCAAGTCTATTTCTTTTTTTTGTTTTAAGAGATAGCAATGCTGAAAACCCGGCTTCACACAAATATGATGTTGAAAAAGGAATAAGGGCTTTAAGTGCAATTGATGAACACAATGAATATGAATTCCTCATTTTCAACCAGAAGTTATTTAATGGTGCTACTTTGAAGTGATCCTTAGCCGTGGCATCATTCTTTAACTCTATAAACTCTTCTTGTGCTTCCTCTTTCACATTTTTCACATCACAAGAAAATGGTGATATAATAACTTCACTGCTCAAAAGATTCATATCTGGAAAATAGTTACCAAATTCAGTAATCAAATTATCTAGGTGACAAACTATTTCTGTCTTTATAACTTCAGGAAGCATGTTAACTCCAATTATGTTATTTAAATTTTGAAACATGATCAAGTTTCCATTATTAATTCTAGTCTTGTACAGTTTGAGCTTTTCAATAAATGCCTTCAGTTTATCTGAATGTGTAATAACATTAGCATTTTTGCCTTGAAGTTGCAAATTTAACTTGTTAAAATGACCTACGATGTCCACAATATAAGCAGTTGTTATTTCAAAATTATCAAATTCAAAATATTCTACCAGTCCACTTTTCATTTGACATAAAAATTCTTTCACTTCATTTCTAAGCATGAAAAATCTTTCCAAAAAATTTCCAGCAGATCGCACAGAAGTATAAAACAATAACTTATTGTGTTCAGCATTTAGGTCAGAGCAAAATTTTGTAAAAAGGCGAGTGTTAAGAGCAGAAGATTTTATATAATTGACCAACTTGACTAATTGATTAAATACAGTTTTCAAACTACCTGGTAAAGTTTTGGTTGCCAAAGCCTGTCTATGAATAAAACAGTGTACACCAACTACATTTGGAGCAATCTCTTTCACCCTAGTCTGTAATCCAGACTTACAACCCATCATGGCAGGAGCTCCATCAGTAGTAATTCCAAACAAATATTTCCATTGTAATTGATTGTCATTGAAAAACTGTTTTAAAATTTCCATAATATTAGCTGCTTTTGTTGTTGTTTCAAGGCAAGAAGAAAACAAAAATTCTTATTTAAATTTGTTATTGTGAATATACCTACAATATACAATTAGTTGTGCCATTGAACTTACATCTGTGGACTCATCCAACTGAATAGAAAAATATGGGGATTCTTTAATTTCATTAATAACATTTTCTTTAATGTTTGATGAAATATCCGTTAGCCTTCGTTTGACTGTAGTATTTGATAAAGATATATTATCTACCTTCTTTGCAGCTTCTTCTCCAAATAATAATCTAACGATTTCTTTGTACATGGAAGTGTAACTTCTTCAGCCAATGTGTGAGCTTTTTTGTTCTGTGCTATTATATATGAAACCTTATAGGATGCTTCTACTATATTTTGTTGAGTTTGGTAAATAATCCCAGTTTTATCCAATTTGCATCTCTTCAGTGATTCAAATTTTCTTTTGAAAAAATCACTATCTTTTGTTTGGAGATCAGGATGGCACTTATTCAAGTGAATAGCAAGCTTTGAAGGTTTCATAGAGTCATTTCCTAGTACTTTATAACAAATAACACACTGTGGGTAGCTAATGGTTTCTTTAAGCATGTAGGTAAATCCATATCTCATGTATTCATCTAAGTATGACCTTTTTTTACTTTTAGACATCTAAAGTATTTAAAAAATAATATAAAAAGCATCTATAGATAAGAGTAGTATAGTATCGAATTTTTATAGAAAATAACACAAATTACGTTCTTTCAAACAAATCAGTAAGGTTATCTTTACCATGAGATAAGATTTTAACATTTTAAATTTACGGATAAAAAATGATATTATATGGCATTTATTACTTCGTAGAGGTCCGCAAGTCCTCGTCGAATTAGTTAACGCAAACTTTGTGTAACAGCTTTCTCGCATAAATTACATTTTTAATTTAAAATTTAATTTGTTTCTTTCAACAGAAAAAAATAATCAAAATTAAGTTTCACTACCAAAAAATATTTAGAATTTACGTTTATCTTGTGGTCCGCTTAAAAAGTTCTTATGGACCCCCAGGGGTCCATGGACCACCGGTTGGGAACCACTGTCTTAAAGTAACCGGAAATAGTGAAAAAATAAACTACACAGTAGGCAACTGCGTAAATGCTGCTGGAGTTGCGCTACAGTTCAAATGCGTAAATGCTGCGGGAGTTGCGCTACAACCATTTTTAATTTTTTGATCAACGGAGACTGTTGCATGGGTGAAGGACCAGCACAATGAGAGAATTTCAAAAGAGAAAAAAAGGAAAATTAATTTTAACGCTTCGTAAAAAATTATTCATTTTAGAGTCAATTCAGCCAACAAACATTAGAGAAAAATTAAAAAAAAAAAATGCAAGAAGAAGTGTCAAAGATGTTTTGCATGCTTGCCAAAAAAACACATGCTTAACGATAATTTCTTTTGCATCCAAAAATATAAAGACTGATACTTTATATTTCACTTCCTCGTCTTTGTACATAATCATTTTTTTCTGTTACTTTTACAATTTTAATCGGCAAATTAACATGTTTAACTTAAAAGACTGTAGTTGTTTAATTAAACATTTTGTTTTTAACGTTAAATGTTTGTAATTTAAAAACTAAACAAATTTGTAAAATAAAATTTATATATTCTTACAGAGCCAATGTGCTTAAAAAATCTAAATAAAAGAAAACATTTTCTGAAAAAAAAAGAATTGAATTGATTCAAAAATTGTTCAACAAGACCGAATTTATTTTTTTTGTTCAAGCTATACGAATACGTCAAAGTTAAACAACTTTCCAGAAAATTTGGCTGAAACATTCCCAGCCGTTAAACACGTGAAAAGTTATTATACGCATGCGCAATAAAATTTTCATATTTCGAGAGTTTTTTAAATGGTTATACATATTGATTCTAAAAAATTGTTCATTAAAAATGTGCTACTTTTTCTAATTTTGTGGCTGTTAAATATGCATACAGACAATAATTGAACGAAAGTTATTATAAAAGGTACAAAATGCTATAATTTTGATAAAATAAAAAACCTCTCAAAATGAATAAAATGTATTTTCAGCATACCTACTTTTTGTGTTTTGTTTACTATATTCGAATCTCTTTTAAATATTTTTGAGCGGTGCAATTTATCAATTTTTTCAGGGGCCGTATTCTCATCTCTCCGTTAAGCTTAACGGAGCGTTACAGGTGGTTGCACCCCAAAAGCCACGCGAAAGTAGGAGGGTCTAGATTTATTTTCTAGGGACAGATCATAATTTTGTTAATATGGGTTCTGAAAGATAAGCCTAAATACCCAGACAGCCTCCCGCTAGCGGCCCAATGCTGGCCCAGTTCCGCTTGCGACTACGGCGCGATGACGGCCGTCGATCACGGGCCTGCATCAAAACGGCCATTGGGCCAGCACTGGCCCGCTAGCCATGGGCCAGTATTGGCCCGCAATCGTTCGCCAGCACTGGCCTGCGATTATTTGCCAGCACTGGCCCGCGATCGCTTGCCAGCATCTGTTGACAGTACTGATCCGTGATCATTTTCCAACAATCTTTCGTGTTTGCGTGTCAGCTCTAAAGCGTTACTTTTTACTAGATACTTTTACTACATACACTAGCACGTTATTTTTAGCCGTTTCCGTGAAAATGTGTTATTCCATAAAATTCAAACAAATAAGTATATTTGAAATTTATTGTAAACCAAAAGTGTTTTAATTAATAATGAAATAATAAAAACAAAAACGTTGAATGAATCAAATATTTATTTTTGCAACGAATTTTTAAGATCTTCCCGAGCTTTACGGCCGCCATTTCGATCACCGGAAAGTTGAAAGTATCTTTTTATCCAACGTTCAACCTCTTCAGACACTGCTCCTGAAGTCGAAGGATTTATTTTAACAGCATCTAAACAGTGTGACTACATTGTATATATGGAATATATTTATGTATACATTAGTAAATAATTAAACATATATATATATACATATATATATATATATATATATATATATATATATATATATATATATATATATATATATATATATATATATATATATATATATATATATATATATATATATATATGTATATATATATATATATATATATATATATTTATATATATATATATATATATATATATATATATATATATATATATATATAAAATAGTTGATATATATATATATATATATATATATATAAATGTATATATATATATATATATATATATATATATATATATATATATATATATATATATATATATATATATATATATATATATATATATATATATATATATATATATATATATATATATATATATTACTATACATATAAACATATTTGTGTAAATTATCGTGATTCAAAAACGACTTTTTTTTAAATAGTCCACTGTTCAACCTAATATGTGTTCTCTATAATAAAATTTTATTATAGAGAACACATTTAAGGTTGAACAGTGGACTATTTAAAAAAAAGTCGCTTTTGAATCACGATAATTTATGGCATTAATAACGCTAAATTTGAAGTTTTTTAAACAAAAAATATTTTTAGGGGTTGCAAAAGTACCGAGTTCCTAATATTATTGGGAAAAAAATCAAAATGTCAGCCCAGTACTCAAAAGATGCACAACTAAATGTTAAAAATAATTATAATCAACACAAGATAAAATAAATATATAATAAAACACAAGATTTAAAAATAATTAACATTTACTTTATCTTGTAAGTTAAAAAAAAACATTTTTTTTTTAACTTTATGTGCAGTAAATTTTGAAAAAATAATTTGCATATAGAATGATTAATATTTGTTTTCCAGCACCAAAATTTTAAATCTTGTTTTTTATTATATAAAATACATTTACGTTTGAGGAACGGACTATATAAAAAAAAGTTGTTTTTTGAATCAGCATAATATATATATTTATACAAATGTTATACATAGAATGAAATTTCTTCTTACCCAATAAAACTTTTTTTAAAGGCATTGTTTTCAAAGCAAGCTTATTGTTAGCTCCTGACCAATTTATTTTTTTTTCTATATTGGTGCCAATCACCATTGGAATTAAATTCCAAACAGTCCTCTTAATTGTTGAGCCACCATGGGATGCCAATTTCATGCTCTAAAATTTACATACACATAATACATGATAACCATCTTTGTCTTTCATCAACAATTTTATTTAACTTTGTAAAATACTTATTTAATACTAAACTGTAAATTCAAAATAAAAATACTTTTAAAATGTTTTGTATAAAAAAATAAAAAAACAACGAATAAATGTATGGCTCACACTTACCAGTGCATTCATAACTTTCTTATCTGATTCGATGTTTTCGTTTAATTTGAGTAAGCTTGACTCATCATTTACTGGAATTTCGAAAGGTTCATCAACCAAAATTGCTTCCCTGTTTTGTTTAAGCATTCCAATAAGTTGACTTATTAAGGCATTATTTGTATCTAACTTTTTGTTCAGGTTCTCTACTGAAATAAGAAGCTCTTTTTCAACTGCTGTAAAAATATTTAATATTAGGCTACACCATCTCAACGATTATGAAAAATTTTAAAACTATATAAAATAATAAAATCTTAATCAAACGGAATTAAGCGCTACAGATCAAATCTAAAGGAATTGTTGCCGCAATGCATTTTTCAAGTGAAAGTAAAACTAAAAAACTTGATATAAGCGATGGAGTTGATTGATGAACTTCATGAAAAGAGCATTCAGCTGGAAGAAATACCTGGTTTTATGACAACCAAAAAGATAAAGCCAAAATTAACAAAAGATGCAACACGTGTTACCCAAGTACATGGATCAATGACTGCAAGCGATGTAATAACTCTAGTTGAAAGCATAAAAAGAAAAAAAGAAAAAGAAAAGGAAAAAAAAAGAAAATGCTGCAAAAAAGAAAGAGGAAGTTACAAGACTCTTTATAACATGTAAACTTCAATGCTATTGCGAGGAGATAAAATGTAAAGCTTTTGGCTTAAAGCAGTGTCCAACCTGCCTCAATATAATGCGGTCCATTTGCAGCAAAGCAAACTGCAAAGTAAATGGAAAAAACCCAGAAATGATTTTATCTGCAGCTGCTAGAAAGAAATAACTGTGATATTCAAAATCTTTTTTATTGAATGAACTATTTGTTTTAAATTTGTTGTAAAGACTTGTTCTGGATAAACTTTTTTTTTTTTAACTTTTTCTTAGCGCACCCCAAAAACCACATGTTAAAATGTAATTTTTAAACTTTTTTTTACAAGTTTCCCTTCTACTTATAATAAAAATGGTTTGATTTATGTAAATAGCATATAAAAGATAAGCAAACTAGATAGGATTTGCAAACTTAGTCTAAAAAACCAATATTTTATAGCAATATTACTTAAAACTCAATTATTTTTCTCAGCACTTTTTAAGTTTAAAACGGTTGTAAAAAAAACTCCTTTATTGTTAATATTGATTTCTTTTGTTTTAATTGTTGCTGAAACATTCCTTTATGAGAAAAAATTTCTCATATGGTTTTAAGGTGGTACATTCCCATTAATTTCGAAATTTTTCAGAAAAAATCAATTTTTTGAAAATTGGTTTTTTAACTTCAAAGTTTTTCATAGAATAATATTATTATTTATTTTTTTAATAAATAAATAAGGAAGTGTGTACAATTATGTATTTTTTGGCCATAGTAGATTGAGAAGTCCGTAGCAACGCCATAGCAACGCATTTTAAAACAAAAAAATTTAAACTTGCTCAAGCTTATCAACATCAAAAACTCTTTTTTACTGCAGCTTCTTGTTTGTTTTTTGCTTCATGTTTATTTTAAAAGCTATAACTTGAACTACTCATGCGAACATGTATCAAAATATAGTGCTTGCATGCTGTTTTAGTTTGTTAATGTTCTTATAAATAAATAGCTAAATAAGATATGGGACGTTCTATTGCTCGAACTAAAAAAAGAAAGTTTTCTTGTAATCAACACCTAAAATCTTCAAAGTTTATTCAGCTTGATTCATCAATTTCTGATCCAAGTTTATCAGCAAGCTCTAGAAAACTAGTAAACACTGAAATATCTGGAAGTCAAAAAAATTACAATATCATTATTAACTTTAATATTTTAAAACTAATGGTTAGTGAGTTTAAATGCCCTAAATGTGGAAGTGAAGTTTGTTTGGAAAATGACTTAAAAAGCAAGAAAGGTTTTTGTTTTTACTTAACTTTACAGTGCCTTTGTTGCCCATTTAGCAAAGGATGGCACACGTCTCAGTTTTCAACTAAAAAATCTAAAAGTACTCCAGGTGTTCCTACTGCATCAGTTAATTTTCAAGTTGTTACTGCTTTTCGTGAAATTGGTAAAGGTTATCAATCTATATGCAAATTTGCTGCAGTAATGAACATGCCATCTCCTATGAATTTTAAAAATTATAGTGCAATTAATAACAACTTGTTAAATATTTATAATGAAGTTGCTTCTGAAAGTATGTCAAGTGCTGCCAATGAAACCAAAGATATTATTTCTAACTCAAGCAATGTTAATGATGTTTCTGCTTGCCAAGTTTCTGTTGATGGTACCTGGCAAAAGAGAGGTCATCAATCTTTAAATGGTATTGTCACTGCAATATCAAGTGAGAATGGAAAATGTATTGATTCAATTTTGTTATATAAGTTCTGCAAAGCTTGTAGTTATTGGAACAAAAAAAAGTCAACACCAGGTTATCAAAGCTGGAAAATAAATCATGTTTGTGAAGCAATTTTTGAAAAATTGAAAAATTGAAAACTATGCTTTTCAATTTTTCAACGGTCAATTGAAAAGCATAGTTTGAGATATGAAGGCTATATTGGAGACGGTGACAGCTCAGCATATAATGATGTTGTTGCAAGTAATCCATATCCAGGTTTTGAAATAAACAGACTTTATTGTGTTGGACATTACCAAAAGAGACTTGGAAATCGTGCGCGTAACCTTAGAGTTACACTTAAAGGTCAGTTTCTTTCAGATGGTAAAAGAATATATGGAAAAGGTCGTCTGACAGATAAAGCCATAAATACGCTTCAAAATTATTTTGGTATGGCTATCCGTCAAAATTTGAATAACCTTTATGCAATGAAAAAAGCTGCTTGGGCTGTTTTATTTCACAACAGTGACATAAGTGAAGAGTCAGAGAGAAACAAATTT